CAGCCCCACAGTTGTGACAGTACATTGGTATTGGGACAGAAGAGGGAAGGAACTCCTTACATCACACGTTGGCACTGGAAGCAGTGCACTTGTAGTCATGGTCTTTGTTAGAGGTATGTAATAAAGCAGGAATTTCATGCTGGAGTGGAAGACTCGAGTGCTCTTTTACCAGGCTTGTGGACACAAGGCTCCAGCCCTTCTGTGAGAGGATGCTGCATCCTGAATCACCATCAGCTACTCCTACCAAATCTTGCATGTTCTTACAGAAAGCTTCATGTTGAGCAAATGACTTTTAAAAGATCTCTAAGTTACTGATTGATTTTACCACATTGCTTCACACCAAAGGATCCAAAAGTCACCATCAAATTTAGCCCCTTTTAAGGGTTTCCAATTCCCATTTTATTGTAGGCTTCTTATGAAGTGTATTTTAAAGACAGCTGCATTAGACTCCAATTTTGCTTAGCTGTGCTACCAATCTAATTAAGTCACTATTCTCCAAGTTCATACTGTAGATGAGCAATACTGTTTTCCAGAGGACTTCTGAGCTCTGTGGAACCAAGTTCATATGTGCCTAAGCACACCAGAAAATACCTGCACTCATTTAAGAGCCAGGTGGAAATACCCTGGGGACAGCCAGCTGAGCAACTCAAAATGGAAACAAGGTGTTTTCTTCTCCTGCAGCACAAAATGATGAAAATATATCCAAACAAATTGGAAAATGAAAGCAGGATTGAAAGAGGAATGTTTGGAAGCACACCGCACAGCTTTATTCTAAACTAAACTTACCTACTGTAGTAGCCTTGCTCATATTTAATACAACCTAGGTTTTGCCTCCCCTTACCAGAAAGCTGCAGATGTTCTCCAGCCTCCAGTCCTGCATATCTTGTTGGCTACTCCTCTGAGACATCCAATCAACCTGACCACATTCATTCATTATTGATTGCATTTGGAATCTCATCTGCAACTTCTGTGATGACTGAAAAACCCAAGGAGTCTGGAATGAGCAAGATAAGCTCAGCTGAATGTGGTTGTTAGCAATTCTAGTCTTCAAACACCACAGGAGCATTGCTCTAGTAAGGAACAGAAACAATACCTGAATTCCAGTACTTGAATCTTGAGCCCCAGGTAGGAGCAATTAGCTGCAAGCCCTGGGAAGTACAGTGCTGCTGGTGGTTGTAGTATTTCCTTCATTCAGTCAACTCCGAGGTGCTGAAGACCGTGAACTATGAACACTGCTTCTTGTTCCCGTGTTCTGGACATAACTAGTGGCTAGTTCTATATCATTAGTCTACCTTAACATTTAAAACTCCTATACTGGATTTCAAGCCGAACCTTCCTTTTTCCCTCCTTCCCTCAAAGGAAGCTGGGGTATACCACACTTTCCGTTCCTGAGATCCAAACTGTGGATGCTCCTTCATAGCGTTCAGTGACCTCAGGAAGAGTTGCTGGTGGGGTGCAGACCATTTTCTCACTCTCTGTTCTGGCCTAGAAAGTGCCCTTATTGTCCTATTTTGCCTCCTTAGCATCCTTCCATTTACCTCTACCTGCAATAGGACGGTCAGGGCCTCTATCACTTCTGACAGTTGACTGAGCCTTCGTAATTCCATTTGGCAGGACATCGTCTTCCCATCAGCCTTCCAGAAGTTTTTAATTAATTTATACTTTTTGACCTACACAACAGCCTCTGGCGATAAGTTCTACAATTTAATAACATGTTATATGGGAATGTATGACTTTTTGTTTTAGACCTGATGCCTAATAATTCTGTGGGACATCCTTTACTTCTATTCTGAAAAATAATAGCTATCCCTTCTTCGTTATTTCCTAGCTAGGTAGGAAGTTTCAACATCTCTGTCCCACGTCTAACTATTTTCTCTGTCCTGATTTGAAAATCATTCTGCCTTTCTCATATACTCCCTGTGGGTGGAATTCAGATTAAAACACTTCGATTTAGTGGTGGAGTTAAGGTATCTACCTCACAGATTGACACCTACAGATAGAAGCCTAAATTTAGGTGTCTAGATCTCTGAGCTAAATAACTCCCACCCATCATTTTTAGTTCTGTCTTTTATGAGACAGGATGAACAGAAGTGCACATATTAATCAATATGTGGGTTTGTCAAACATTTATATAGTGACATAATCTTATAATCATGTTTTTCTTCTCCTTTTTTCTCTTTCAAAATTTTCTGTCATTCAGTTTGAATTTTTGACTGCTGCTGGTCATTACATCAGTGCTTTCAAAGTGCTATCCTACAGTCACTCTATTTCTGAATGATAATAACTTAATGTTCAATCTGTAACTGAATAAGTATAATACATGATTGAATATGTATACTCCCAGAGAAACTGCTTTGCATTTATTAGCATTGACTTTCACATGCCATTTCTGACACAGTCACTCACTATCATGAGAACCACCCGCCTCTCTTCACAGGGTTAGATTTGACTCCCAGTTAATTTTGCGTCATCCACAAACCTTGCCAACACAGTACTGAAAAGCACAGGTCCTAACTCTTAATAGTTGTGTGACCAAATCATAATGATCCTTTCAGTGGGAACATTGATGTTTTCTCCCAGTTTTTATCCTATTTTTTCTCTATCTTATTTACCTACAAGAGGACACCTTTTTTTTTTTAATCTCAGCATAACTACTTTAAGAGTCTTTGCAGGAAGACTTATTGACATTTGTTTGGGAGTCCTTACACACTATATCAACTAGATCAGCCTTACCTACAAGCGTGTTGACATCTTCAAAGAGTTCAAATAGATTTATGAGACGTGGTCTCCTTCTGCAAGAACTGTAATGACTTTTTCCAAATAAATCACATTTATGAAACCTTCTACTGGTTCTCTTCTATATTATTGCAGTTTTTACCCACTTATTCAGTTTGGAAGTGAGATCTCCTGATCTATGGTTTTTCACATTAGTCCTGGAGTCCTTTTTCCTCAAGGCTGAAGACACATTTGCCACTTCCCATTCTTCTTGCAGTGTGGTCAACTTAAATGACACTTTTCATGCTACATTTAGCTTTCTCTTAATCTAGTGTTTGAGGTCTTTCAGAACTCTTGATTGAGTATTATCTTATCTTGGTGCCTTCTTACTGTTCGTTTTATTGATTTGTTCCAAAATGTCCTCTACTGAAACTTCATTTAGGGACAATTCCTCATACCCTCTACTGCTTCACCACTAATGTACCCCTTTCCATCCTTCCTCTATTATTTCTTCCATATTCGGGCTTTCCACCTTTCTGCCAAGTTTCTGAGGCATTTATTATATCAATAACTTCCTTTAAAATCAGACATTCTTGTTCACCTCTTTTAGGCTTCAGACTTGCAGCTTTTGTATTTCTATATTTTTTATTGATCTAGTTGCCCATTGTTCACAGGGCCTGCTTAGCCTGAACTTTAATTGCTGAGACAATTCTTTGCAATTTCCTTACTCAATATTATTGATTTTAGTTCTTTGCGTTTTTCTAAATTACAAGAATTTGCTCATTTCTCTTGAAGAGGAGCTGCCATCTTGAACTATGCATCGCAGCTTAGTTGGTGAGTTTCCACAAATCTCGCCTATAAAAATATCTCATTGTTTTGGAATGTTAAAACCTTGCAATCTACTTTCACATTGATTTATATAGCTTATCTCTCTTATAAAAGCTACCTCACCAACAACTGAAAATCTGCTTGTCTGGTACTGGGACAATTTATAACACCATGTTCCACTTTCACAATTCCTTTCCCACTCATTCCTCTGTCATTGCTATCCGCATGATTCACAACAACTATTCTCTCTAACACTAAATGTGGATACAGAGATCCAGAAAAGGCCTCCAAGGCACTGCAGAAAAGGAAACTTCCTCTCACATTTTAATAATACATTTTGATAACACCTCCCAGGATGAGACTTGCATGATCACTCACTCCTGTTTAACTTCTGATTTTCTGTAATTCTTATATCTTGCTATGATATGCTTCAACCTCAGCCAGTTGTCTCCTTTTTATATTTGGATATTTATTTGCTCTTTCGGCACATATGAGTTGCCTCTTTTTATTTCATATTCTTGATCTCTGGATCACATTCTCCAGTTTCTCAAATTCACTGAAAGTTTGACCCTGACCTTCAAAGTACATCTTGGGGTGTACACAAATGTTGTGACTGAGTTCTTTGTTAAACCATATAAGCCATTAATTAACATACTGAATAGAACTGGGCCCAGGACACACCCTAGCCGGGTGTCAGTCAAAATAACTTCTCAGTCTGACAGCACACCATTGCCACCCACATGACATCACATCACACACCTTCTCAATGATGAACCTGAAGCTGTGAACTGTGTCCTGCCTGCCAGGACATTTAAGGCCGTGGTTTCCCTTACTCCTTTCTGAATCCAGATCAGAGTCTGCAGAAAGGATGGCCGCCCACTAGGCGGACTATTTTGAGTACACTGGAAGTCCACTTATGGCCTCTGATCATGGCAGTATGTGGATCTATCGGCACATATGCCATAAATCTCATTGCCCCAGGAAGCACTGGCTTTTCTATGCTTTCACAGTACAGTTATGTGTTAGAAGGAGGGCTGCAACATATGGGCTCTCCCTTATACAGAAAGAAGGTAAGTGTCTCACCCAGCCAGAAATACTGGGCACACTGATATAGACCATATTTCTTTAGTCTGCTTCCGAGGGAATAATGTGGAACAGTTTCAAAAGCTTTCCTAAAGCAAAATATGTCCCATCTGCTGCCTCCTCTTCATCTAGTAGACATTATTTTCTCAAAGAAGGAAATTACAGTGAGATCTCATGATTTATTCTTGGTAAATCTATGGTGTTGTTTTTCTTTTTTTTTAAAAAAAAAAAAACTTCTATTTGCCTTAAATTGATCATGGTGTTTTTTGGTTTTTTTTTCAGACTAATTTCTGTGAAGGGTGGTCTCTTGTTCCCTGATTTCTATGTTTTCAGAAGTTAACTGTTTGCCCTTGTATAGTGCTCAGTGATCTCACCTGCCCTTCCAAGAACTTCCAGGACAGTCACTAATGCTTCAGTAATTGCTTCAGCTACTGTCTTCACCCAGAGCAGTTTGAGGCCAGAGCTTCTGATCTGGAAGAGCAAAGACAGAACAAATACGAGGCACAAAAACAATATAAAAGGACATAAGGGAGTAGGGCCAAGTCCAGATTAGTTGCTCTTATCTCCCCTTTGAGGAGGCTCAGGCTCCTCTCACAATGGGCAGTTTAGAAGAGCACAGCACAGCAAGAAGCTGCCTCCCAGCTGAGGAAAAGCAAGCTGACAGCTCCGAGAAGGCTGTATCTCAAAATACATTCATAGTTAAGAACTTTTGGTCTACTGTGCTGTAGGGAATTTAAATACCAGGAGCAACAGTAGCTGTGGATGTGATGACAGAGATTTGCAAGCTTGTAGGCAGAACATGAAGGGGTCTTTTATGAGACACCTATGTGGATGCTAGAAAGTGCCAGGGAGGAGAATGAGGTCCTAATACATGTCACGAATTTTAAAGGGAAATGTAAGTGAAGGATCCTGGAAGGCAAAGTCAAACTGCTGGCTAGAAGATTTAGCCCTAGGGTACTGTTGACAGTTTCTCCAAAACCCTTCCAGTTACACACACAACACCAATTAGGCAGAGGAGAAGAAGATGCTATCCAGAGGTGACGCTCTCCATCAAAAGTCAAAAGTGAAATCAGACTTTTCACAAGGAAAACGTATATGATGTGTTTAATTAAGTGGGAGCTGGGGGAAATCTGTCATGAGCTAAAGCAAACATTGCTAAGAGTTGGTAAAATAAAAATGCTCTGTGTATCCAGCTAGTTCAGAGAAAAAGCTCAGCACAGAGATGAAAACAATTTATAAGTGAAATTGTATTATATCAAGACGACATCAGACTAAGAAGTTAAACAAAGGTGCCCCCTCTAAGAAATATAAACGTGTATAAATAAAGCAAAAGTAATTTTTAAAAAGCTAGATTCACCCGGATAACAAAATCAGGTCTTGACACAGCAACAAAAGTAAAACGCAATGACAAAGCTGGTGGTGTACCATAGTACACAGTCACAAGCAACAGAAAAGAGAATATAGGTCATAAGAGTGAAATAATTTTTATATTTTTTTAAAACATGTAAAGGAATTTAGTGAGACTAAAATCTGTACTGGAAAAGAGTATTCTGGCTGTACTGGCTGAGCTGTAAGGATGTTAGCATATGAGTGGAGATATCTCATCAGTCACCAGCGAAATATGAGTAAGTACTTAATGCTGAGAGGTGAAATACTAAACATGGGGACCTCTATTATTCATAAATAAATCAAGATAATGGCACAAAGGAATAAAAGGCTGGAGAACCAATTTACAGAAACACAGTATGACTGCTTTTCAGAACTATTAGATCCTGAACATTCAGGAAGGCAGGCTGCTCTCTGCTTAACTATTATGCAAGATACGAAAGGAGTATTTTCAAGAAGAGGTAGTCAATGGACCAACAGAGAATATGGGTGGCTCCTACAGAACAGAAAATTGTGTCTTGCAGTGCAATGGTTATGACTTAGGAGATCTTAATGGACAAGGAGCTAACCACCAGCACTCAGGGTAGAAGCAAGATGAAATGGGAGAAGTCATCAGAAATGAGGAATAAGTTCAACCTCTGGGCACAGCACCGCTGAAACTCCTAGTATATCTAATTCTGATGTTCACATTTAAAGCTGTTGAAAGATTAGATTGGGGGCAGGAAAGAGCCATAAGAAGTATATGAGAAGAACGTGTAACTGAGAAACTTAAACAGCTCAATTGTGGGGTGATTCAATAACTACCTTCACAAGGGGAAAATATCAACCAGCACTTTTTAATCTAGTAGAGACATAGGAGAGACTAAGGGTAGAAAAATGGAAGTGATTCAAACCAGAAATGAAGCACACATTTTTTAACAGTAGTGATGATTAAATTTGGGAGCAAACTACCACCTGAAGTGATGGATTTTGCAACTCTTGACATCTGGAACATATGTTCCTGTGAAAAGTTCAAGTTTTGATAAATAAAAATATCTTTTTCCTTATTAAAAAAAAAAAAAAAAGGCAGAAAATTCCTAGCTGCTATTTGGGTTACCTCTCTATATTAAAAGAATAGTAGATGAGCCAGAGAAATTGCTCTGCACATTGAAGGTTGGGAAAAATGATAATTAAAAGCAGGATAATGGAATTCCTAGATAAGAAACACGATATTGTAGGAGCTAATTATCACAATGTCTGTAATGAACATTTTGCATCACTAATATTTTAGAATTATTCGAACATATCTTTATAATAATGATCAAAAGGGAACTGCTTGACATAATCCACTTGAACATTCAAAAATCTTTTGACAGCCTTTCTCAGGCAAGGCCTATTTCAGAAGAATCCTATATGGCCAGATATTTTGGGTGCTACATAAAGTCAAACCACAGACCGGCATGCAGAGATTAGAATAAGAGCCAGAACACTGCCTAATATTACAAACAGGTATTTCACTACAAGATTTAGCTTTTCTATAGAGGTGTTAAGTGACAGTATTCCAAGTACAATTTTTATAATTGCAATCAAGGCACCAAGAACTCTTGTGCAAGTACTTTTAATACACTACAGGAATGAAATATGGCACATAAAGCACAGACAACTTGTAGAGCATCATTAAACATACCACAATCATTAACGAACGTGCCAAGGACAGCTAGTACATCTGTATGTAATTCAAGCGGAGGAGTTGGGTTCCACTGTTTTTTCTTTTTTTTTTTTTGAGTTGCATACTTCAGAAAATTCCAGCTTACCCTGAGTCAATAGAATGTGAAGTACAACCGAAAAAAATACCCTCTTGGGAATTTTCATTGGACTGAGAATTGTGGCACTTCTCAGTAAATGTCAGGCTTATCAGTGTTGTGAGTAAGCATCAGTTAGCTCTCAAACAAGCTGACTCTGTTCATTTTTCTCAGTACTGTATGTAATATTCTCCTGGCAGGGAACAGCTCTTCTAGTAGACTGCAGCACAAATTTGTAAAAGAAGCTTGCCTCAGCTCTGATCCAAAAACTAGAAGAGATCTAGTATATACTATATCACTGCAGAAAGATCTGCTTTTTGACTTAAACCCCAGACTGTTTGAAGTTAAAGGAACACAAAAAATATCAGTTTTTCCTTTTAGAGAAAAACATAGATTAATTGTAAGAAAACACTCATATTTATATTTGGTTACCTACTTCAAATTACATCAGTAGCTTCAAGTATGTCTTTGACCTGTGAGTGGTTAACGACATCAATATTTGCAACACATTTTCATCCTTTTATAAGGGCTCTTTGTTCATTTCCACCATGTAAGCTTTTCTCTTTATATTGCTAGATGAGACCTAGCAGCATCTTGGTAAGATCTTCATTAGCATTCAAATAAAAATTCATCGCCTGCTTGTATAGTGGGGGAGATGAGTTCAGTGCTCACTGTTACCATCAGAAGTGTTTACATTCACAGCTACGTTTCATTTTCTTTTGACAGAACATAACAAAGCACAAGAAAGCCTGCACTGGGTCAGATCGAAGGTTCCCCTACTGCAGCGCCTGCTTTTACATACAAATGTCTGGGGAATGAGCTTAAGAACATAGCCAGAATACAGTGATGCTTTCTTGGAACATTATTCTGTTTCCCAGCATGCCTTTGGACTTTTTGAACCACTGTCTTTGGGTTTACTATCTAACAGGTTATGCCATAACTTCATTTCTCTCCATTAACTTTTTCTAATAACCGCAGAACACAAGTAAACTTTGAGCATCCGTAATATCCCACAGCAAAGGATTTTGCAGCTTAATTACACGTTTTGTGAAGAACCATAAGCCAAATTGATTTCAAGTTCTTGCTTTGGAAGAGATACTAAGAGGGCTTCTGAAGTTTGGAGAGGAGGCAACAAGTGGGATATGAGTAAGGCTTATAAAATTGTGGCTGTAGATACAAGAGGAGGACAGTCCAGGCAGCTGACTGTCAGTCTGACCCACTAGAGCTTTTCTTAAGTTGCTGTAGCAACCTGCATCTTCAGTAGTCTTTCACTGGATTCCACCGTGAATGGATGAAATGTGGTTTCTCACTGGAAAAATGTTCCCTAACAGACAAGATTTTATCCATTTATGCATTTTATTCTTATAATTTCCACTCACTTGCTCAGTACAGACTCCAATGTGACGGTCTGCAGTTCTCCATTTCACTCCTGGGGACCTTCTCAGCAATTGTTGTCACATTAACCATCTTCCAAGCCTCCTGCAGGGAGACTGATTTAAGTGACGGGTTACAAACTATAGTAGCTCTATAATTGCATATTTGTTTTCCTTCAGAGCTCTTGAGTGAATACCATATGGTCTTGGCACTTTTTGACTCTTCATCTTATCAATTAGTCCTAAAATGCATTTTAATGTCACTTAATTTGAGACAGTTCCTTACACTTGTCCCCATAAGTTTGGCTCACAAGGGAGAATAACCAACCTTAACCACAGCAAACATCAACAAAGCTTTGTTTGCCTTTCAGTGCTTTTCCTCTCTTACAGTAATTCACAAATCTCTGGAAAAATACCTGATTGTGGTCATTTTAAATATTTCTACTAGCTGTTTTTATTATTCTTTTACCAGGTCTTTCCTTAAGGGTTTCCCTTGCTTGCCCTACAGGTTTAGCTTGATAGTTTATGGTTTTTGTTGGTGGATTGTTTCAGTGGTTTGTTTGGTTTTTTTTGTAGGTTTTGCTTGTTTGTTTGTTTTGGGTTGCTGTTGTTTTGTATTTCTTTTTGAATAGTTTCTTTATTTGCTCAGCACTCCCAGACTTTGAATACTGACTTCCACTCTGCAGTTGGAATATTGCCTTTTTTGTCCCCTGCAGAATCATTCCACTTCGTGATATATTGCTCTGAGCTTCGGATAGGGTGTTTTCATCTAGTTTCTCATCTTCTGCATGTTTATATCCGCTGCTTTTAATTTCCTTTTAAGAAGCTCCTGCATTTTTGAATAGGTCCCATTCATAAGTTAGTTATTACTGTGAAGTAGTTATGGGGGGAATCAAATACCCTTAAGACAATCCGTCATTAACACCTCAGGAAAAAAAGAAAAAAAAAAAAAGATAGGTATCAACCCAGGTATTTCAAAAGCAAGCAGGCTTTGGAGAAAAGAGAACACCCCCAGCTGGAAAGGAAAGGATGGAGAGCACTGCCACCACACTGCACCCTTGTGGCTTACAGGAATTAATGATTTATATGTCATGGCTAAGCTGTGTTGTTTTTTTGGGTGGTTGACAGCAGGTTCATGTGGAAAAAAAAACGGTCTCACAAAAGAACAACAACAAAAAAAAACCAACACTAACCCAAGAACAAAAACAAAACAGCTAGCATGGGGCCAACCTCTATGGGATGCACTGTGAGCCACACACCCCCATTCTCGGCAAACCAGGGCAAACATGCAGGGGTAACAGCTCTTTGGGTCACCAGCCAATGCTAAGCCAGACTTGGGCATGTCAGCAGCCGGTCAAACTCAGCATCTTTAGGATGCTGGTCCTTCTCAGGATACCAGTGTGTCTGGGTAGCTTTCTGCTCACAGCTGAGGGTGTCCCAGCACAACAGCACCCATCTGCAGAGACAGGCTCCCTCCTCATGCAGACAAGATGTACAAAGTGCAGCGTAAATGGGAATGCAGAGCAGGCAGCTGGCAGCACCCAGGCAGGCCTGCAGACACACAATAACTCACAGAGTGAGGTCTACCAGATGTTTCAGCCTCACAGGGAAGCCACACGCATGTCCTACTGCTGAAACTGTGTTTTGCCTCCTGCCATGCTGCTCTCCTGCAAGAATGCTGGAACATGCTGGTTGTTTGAGAGTTACTTTCCCTTCCTAATACTGGTGGTACCACAGGTTTGTGTAGTCAAGTAAATATCAACAGGAAATAAATCACAGCTTGGAGAAGTGCTGTTCTCCACCCTTCCTCCAGCATCACTTGTTTACACTGCTGCGCTGCAATCTGAAAAATGCCATCTATAATGAATACTAACTAGTGGGAGTCTCTCTCAGCAATGTGTTACTAAGCCTGATTGCTGTGCAGTATAATACGCCAGGAGAGAGCGGGGGCTGGCTGCGTGTCTCTGCTCCATGCAGTCACAGAAGCTGTCAAACCTAGGTGCCTCTGTGATCTCCAAGCAGCATGTCTCCCTACAACCTTTCCTAGCTACCCATTTATTTTTAAAATGTTACCTTGTTACTGTAGCTCTGTTCTTTCAACCAATTTTATTGTCATTATTATTTCTATTTAAAATTCGTGTACTTTTGCAATTTAATCTTTTTTCCAAGCCAATTCACAGCAATATGTTAACTGCTGCCTTGTAATAGAAGTCACCTAGAGGTAATATTCAAAAGTCCTCACTATTAAGAAATGACTCACCTCTCTGTTACAAAATCTGCACCAAATTGCCTTTCACTCCTGCCCTCAGTAAATTCATGTGTCTCAGCTCCATCACCAAGATCATTTCCAGGCTCGCAGTGAGCGCCTGCCTGTGGAGGGCACACAAAAAACCAAAGGATGCCAGAATGACAGAACACTTTTCACACATCAGTGATTTCTACAGTACTTCGCAGCTCCTCGAGCTATAAGAGCCAGGAAGGAGAAGGGGACCTAGGCTGAAGAAGGTGGCAAAAATAGGGTCGAAGTAGTAAAGCATGCTAACAGGTCCCCCGCACACTTTTCAAAATTCCTGCTCTCAAAACGGAATGCATCTGCCTATATTTTGGGACTCAGAGGATACTTTGCATTTCCCTCCTCTGCCAGTAGGTTACATCTTCCAAACATTGCAAGGCACAGCTATGATAATTCTACACAACAAAATGCACAGAAAAGAGGTACTGACCACAAGGCTTATTAATGCATGATTAAGAGTTTGTTGAGGCATGGTTTTTTGCTCTTTAGAATACTGAATTTGGGCAAAACTCAAGTTCTGAAATCCAGTAAGGGTTCATACTGATGCAATGCATGTCCATCGTTTGATATACAGGAGCGTTCATATAAATATACATACACCTCCTGTACACACAGTACCAAGTGCCCCAGCAGAAGTGCTTTGAGACAAAGCCTAATACTTTGCTTTGGTGAGATCAAACTTAACTGTCAGGTGGCTGTTTTGAACAGGAGATAGGAGAACTCATCACACATGCACTTACAATGAGCTGTGCAAAGGTCACTCTGTTCTGTGAATAAGCCCGTGTCAACACTGAGCATATATTAGAGTTCAGAAAACACTTTGCTGAAGAGATCCAGGCTTTCTGGGTTAAAAGGTTATGAAATTTATTCTAATCTCTATTTCTATTTTCTTAGATCTTCACTACCAATCTATTACAGGGAAAAAAGTCAGAGCAGCTAAATTTAAGGTTTCCCAACTTCTTCTTTTATATGACTCTGATCATATCTCTACAAGACTATTCAGAGTTGTAGGACAAAATGTTCAGAATACTCCCAAGCTAACTTGAAATTTCTTATTCATGTAAAACTGAATTTGCTCCTTAATTTCTCAGACTGAATTTTTTTTTTTTTTGTTAAAATATTCCTTTCACCATTTTCTCAAGAGTCTTTTGTGTCTTTGTGCTTTAGCACAGGTTTTCTCCTGGTAAGAAGTCTATACCATTGCCTTCACAACTGTCCTTCAAGTTCTTACATGTTGAAGCAACTTGAATCATTAAAAGTTATATTCTGCAAGTCAAACAGAATAGCTAAGGCACAAAAAGATTTAATTTCCAGGAAGAGAAAAACACCAGAATAATCTGAATTATTTCTAAGCACACAGAAACTAATAAGGAGATGAGGGCTTGTCAACATGAACTCCTCATGAAGAAATCAAGCTGACTCTGTCTAATTTCCCTCTCTGGCAGATAAGACTTTGCAGATAGGGAAGAAGCACCAGATGCCACATACCTCAGTGTTACTGAGGCATGTAACTTTTCCCACATGACATTCACGAGTGCATGAATGCCCAAGTTGAAGGCACAGCACAAATCTGGTTGGAATCCACACTCTGAGATCAGTTTCTAATGATTCACTGTGAAATTTAAAGGAGAAATTGAACGGTTATTCAGCTTTCATCGGTTCCATTCAATATTTTATTGATAGCTGGGCTAAAGAAATGGACTGTTTATTAAACCTGCCAAGATTAAATCAGTGAAGAGTGACTACAAATACACAGGAGATAGAAGTATTAAAAACTTTTGACAACTTGGACAAGCTGTCTATAAAAATAGGAATCATCTCAATTGTAATAAGCGTAGCATTTTAACTTAGGCAGGAGCAAAGAACACAAATACAGCTCACGCATATGGTGGACAGAAAGCAGCCTGCAAAAAAAAAACACAAAAAAACAAAACCTGAAGGTTGTGATGGCTGAAAAGCTGAACAGGGGTCATTCTCTTGAGCAAAGAGAAAGCACTGCATGGACACATTAACAGAAGAATTACCTACAAGACACTTTGCAGGTCCTCTTACTGTATTCAATATTAGTAATGCCTCAGTGCACAGGCATGTCCAGTCTTGGATAATGCTCCTCAAGAAGGGCTGACAGGGCAAGCAGCAAGCATAACAATGGCTAGAGGTCTGGAAAACATGACCTGAATCCGAAGGCTGAGAATGGGAAGTGCTCAGAAGAGAGAAGACTGAGGAAAGAGGGAATAACAGCCCTGACAGGATCAGGACAGTCAGGACAGGTGCAGAACAGCCCTGTCGCTCGCAAAAGTCTGCCACGAAATGGAAGAGAAATATTCATTTCTGCTTATGCCACGAATGCCATCAGCGGGCATCCTGTGGTGAAAGGAGATGAACTAAGTAATAATCTGCTGAGATTTCCTCCAGCTTCCCTCTACAGTGATTCTGTGCTTAGCTGATGCTGATCGGTTTGTCTGTAGTCAATTTGTCCTGATGTACCCTAGTGACTTCGCACAGTCATTGCTCATACACATTTACATCATTTCTGCATTAACATCATCATTAAGGTTACAGTGTTATACCTTCAACTTACCATCTCACGACTATCTGTCTTACAAATACCTTATCAAAATGCTATTTGCCAAACCAGCTTGACTTGCAACTCGTTAATCAGAAGCCATTTTAATAATTAGTGCTCAAATATTAATTCACAAAAATCTTTGTATTTTAATTTTCCTTTCTAACCAGCACAATGGATAAAAGGGCTTATAAGCATTTGGCACCACTGCTTTCAGTCTCACAGAACCTAAATTAGAGCTGCTGCTGACGAAGTCTCCCATTCCACTCACATCTATGGCTATGACAATTTTAGAAAAAGAAAAAAAAGCATAAATCTTGGGCCTCTCAGATTCAAACTCACAGAAGACACCAGACCACTGCTGCTGCCATTAGCACCTGGTCTATTCCCTACTATGGAAACAGAACCAGCAGCACCTATACCCATTCTGACACCAAGAGAGAAGTATTTGAACTTTTTTCTCAGATTATCCATTTTAGGGATTACACATCCCAAATGAAGAACGTATTCCTAATGTCTGCCACTGCCATTCAACCTGCTATCTTCAGTGTGCACAGAATAAGTTAACTGAATGACACAACTGCTTCTTAGTAGCAGTTACTTGCTTCAGGTGCCAAGGGAAATCAGTGCTGCCTTATCAAACAGTTATAATCAATTAGTAATATTGATCAGAACCAGCTCCCCACATGACTTAGCAAATTAAATGGTTGCACTGCAGTGTTGCTGGAAGAACGATGACCCTCATAAAGCTGTGCAGGTTCTGAGAGATATGAAAATAAAGCTCAAGTGCACTAGCATATAATCCGTTAAATCAGTGTTATACAAAACCAGAAATAATGCAAGCCACAGACCTTGTTAGCTCTGTGCATCCTTACACCATGGTTAAACTGAGTTGATATGTCAGAGAGAAAATCCAAACGATTTCAGATTTATCATGTTAATTCTTTACATCACCTTCTCAAGAATTCACACTGCTGTCATTTTCTCTTCCATTTTGATTACCTTCTTTGCAACATATTGGTTTTCTTACTTTTACTGAATAATTCCTCACCTATTATATCTATAATTATTCAAATAATTAAGCATGCCTTTTCATCAGCTAGCAGCTAATTACTTCTACTCCTACCCAGCTTGCTCAGAAAACAGTCAATTCATCTGTATCCCTTTCACTCTCACTGTTGCTAAGCAGTCAGTGCCAGTCAGAATGGCACAGTAACTGGCGTTGTATGGCTCACTCTGGCTTTAAGTGTATTCTGCAGCATCTGACTGGTGGTGCCTTTCAACCTCTGAGCAAATGCTTCTCACCAGTAAGCAAGCTTTAGTCACGTGCTGAAGTGCAGCACCTGTTGGTAAAGACTGCTTATCCCCACCTCTCCCAGAAGCTTTGGAGCTGTTAGTAAGCAGCCACTACTTGCTGCAAGGTGCAGTTTGCAATTGGAGAGATCCGAAAAGAATCAGCTAGAAAGCCTGTTCTACTACCTGCAGTTTTCCTTCTTTGGTTGTCAGGCCTTACCCATGATTTGTTATGTGCAAAAGAAGTTATGAAGCAGTCAGAGCTCTCACCTCTCTGGCACTATCACACATTATCCTTCCAGACCTCTTGTTACACCATCCCACGTCAGGTAACCTGAGAAGTGGACGCTGTCAGCATGACTCTGCTATATCTCACCCTACTTCCCACAGCCTAGTACAGACAGCCTCTGCTTCAAAACACTCAACCTCATATCAAACTTCAGTGACGTGGTGACAAATCAGCCCAGGCTGCTTTTTCTCTAGTTGCCTGTTATTTTGTTCTAGGAGGGGCGAGAGAAGCTGCTGCGTGAGAGCAGGGATTCCCACAGGCTCCAGCCCCAGCAGCCACTTCCTTGCCTGCTCACAGTTAATGGTGAAATGTTAGTGGCTGATCTTTCCAGCCTTCCTAAACATTAAGCTAGGTCAAAATCCTTAAGCTTTTCATGTAGTTTGTGATTACAGACTCTGAAATAAAATAAAATAAAAGCTGGCAATTGCAACGGTTGTGCTTGATTCCAGAGAAGGGGAATTCAAGATAGAAAAAAAATATATATATAGTAAAAATAAATAAAATTTTTTAAAAAAGGAAATAAAAAAAAAACACTCAGAGTGGCAGCCAGAAAGGCAAAATGTTTTTAGATGGCAGGTAGACTATTTTAGGATTCTATATTGGAGGCTCAAAGCAAATGCATATAACCTGTCAAAAAAGACTTGAGAGAAAAACAAAAAGCTAGCATCATAAAACAGCAGGATCAGGGAGGCTGTTGGAAGTTAAAAGGTATCCTGCAAAAAGCTGAAGTTGTGTCTGAAAAAGGAAAACTAAAAAGAACATAAATTCTGGCAGACTAAATGTAAAAGCACAATAATGTAGACTGAAGAAAGAGTTTAGAAGCAGTTTGCTGAAGAAATAAAAAAAATTGTAATAAATCCTTCTTGAACACATCAAGAGCAAGACGCTTACAAGAGCCAGTGGGCTTTGTACGTATGAAAGAAATACTCAGAGAAGATAATGCCATAGCAAAAAACCCCAAACACATTTAAATCACTGTTTACCTGGAGAATCTCCAGAAACCTTGTTTGGAAGAGATAGAAGGCCTGCCCTAATTTAAAACATTGTTAGGAGTAGATTACAAAGGAGACAAAATGCATAATGATCTATCACTGGGAGTGGGTGATATTCATACAAGGTTTTTATAGAATGTTAAACATGAATCATCTGAGCTAATACTTATAGTATGTAACCTTTTGCTGAAAATCACTGCTATTATCAAAGGGCTGAAAGGTAACTAACGAGAAATCAGATTTTAAAAATAAATCCAGCAGCAACTCAAGAAACCACAGAACACTAAGTCTAATGTCCATACTGGTCACGTTGGTGGAAGCTCCAGTAAAGATGAGAATGAGTGAATACATGAATAAATGCAACACGTTAAGGAAAAGTAAACAGTGATTTTGCAAAAGGAATCTGAGCCTACTAAATCCGCTGGAATTCTTTGAAGGCATCAAAGCACACGAGCCACAGAGATGCAGCTGAGAAATTGTCCCTGTATTTCCAATTCACCCCAAGCTTCCATAAGCCTCCGACATTTAAGGTGATCCCTCCTCAAAACTAATCAACTGTGGTCTACAAGCAAAGACCTCACAGAGATAAATAACTCATTAAATATAAGAATTGAAGATTAGACTAAAGGATGAGTTTTCTCAGAGGAGAAAGACCATCAGTGGAGTCCCATGGGGATACGTAATAAGGCCCGTAGTGTTCAGTGCATTCAAAAATGGTCTGGAAAGAAGGTGGAATGGCAAAATGAAGATTTCTGATTGAAATGGAATTCATCAGGAAAATAATTACTGCAAAAATGGAAAGACATGATGACACCGAGCGGACTCACAATAAAATGGAAGGGAAATTTCAGTGCTGACAACTACAATCTGGCTATCCAAGAAAAGCAACACTGACTTTCCAAACAGAGCAGTGCACTCTGAACCAGTTTGCCCAATTTAGGAATCACATCTTGAAAGTATAAAGTTAGTTCTATGAATACATCACCTTATTGCTCAATAGCAGTCAAAAAAAGAAAGAAAATCATAAGTTCAGAATTCTTAGGGAAAAAAAAGGTATGACTACATCACTGTGTGAATTCATGCTGCATCTGCTTCTCAAATATCAAGTGCAGTTCTGGTATCTTCACCTCAAGTAAAAAGAAGGAACAAAAAAAATCTCTAAAGGAGAATGAAATGATACATGGCAGAATGACAAACATGATAAGGAGTACAAAAATGCTTCCAAGTGAAAAACAAAGTTAGCATGCAGAGGTTGAATAGGAAGTGTTGACTTGCCATTTGTCTTTCCCAGTTGTACTGAGCAGGCCAGGTGCCAGCAAGGGGAAATGGACATTGCACGAGCACTCTGTCACCTGCCTTTTTGTTCAGCTACTGAAGCCTTCATATTCTGTCACAGGAATTTCAAGGCATGTGTAGGAATGACGACAGCTAGGTTTCAGGCACAGATTTCAGACAATCCCCAGCACGGTTTCAGGAAAAAACATATGGGGAGTAAAGGAGGAACAAAAGACTGCTGCACTTGCAGTACTTTCTGTGCCTGTTACTTCTAAGTCATCACTCATTAGAGGTCTCTGCTTCCTTTCCCATCTGCCCTTCCCACACTACAACTTTAGAATTAAAAGCAAAAAAAAAAAACCGACAAAAAAATACCACAAAACCATCACCACAGAACACTTAGGCAGCATTTACTAACATTTAACTGACTACAGCAACCCAGCCAGGTTGCCTCCATAGCATTTTAACACAGCTCCTTTCACCTTTTTATGCTTCTCTCATTTTTCAAACTCATTTGAGCATTGTGGGTTCGGGTTATTAGCTTGGCTCCTTCAAGGACAGCACTTCTTTCCAGTCAGGTGTGCAGTGGATTGTACCAATTGGTCCCCTACCTGCTGACAGCCTTAAACTACTGGTGAGCTATTAATAATACGAAAGCAATCATTTTAATTGCAACCTGGTGTCTAGAATTTAGGATCCGCGCAAAGAGTTCCTTCTATCTAAAATATTATTGCCCCATTGTGCATTTTGGAGTTTAGCTCTCATTAAAAGTAATAGAGGGAAATAGTCTGTAGCAAACGGAAAGTGTTTGTTTTCACAGTTCACCTCCTGCTCCTCTACATGAAAACATACTCTCACTCAGTGACAAGACCACAGCTGTTGCCATCTTTTAGTTACCTGCTGAGTGCAATATTTAGCTTGAGGGACACTGAAGTTTTCTGTTTGTTAGTTATCAGGTCAATAACTCTCACCTTATCACTTCACTTTCCATTCTGTTGATAAAACCTGTCAGCCTTCCTTGAGTGGTTCCCGGCCCTCAGAAGAAATCACATTAAATTGGCACAACGAAGTAAATCTGTAAGGGATGTGCTCCTGACTTACCAAAGGGAAGGGGGAGGGCTAGAATTTTCCTCCCCACTCCTTGCACACCTCCCATGTCCCAGTACTCAGAGCTCTGTTGAAATCCTCCCTACAGATTCAGCAGTTCCAATCAGCTCAGGTCTTTCAATATGGCCCAGAGGAGATGTCTGTGGAGCCAAAATTGATATGGTTAAGTGCAAGAGACAATAATCATTTCTTCAAGTAAAAGCTAAAAATACCCAGAAGAAAGTGGAATTTATAATGGAGATTTTAAAGATCTGTGACATACCAGAGCCTGCACAAGGGTTTTAATGAGAGGGAAGGCAATTTAATTGGTCAGCGAGGGCAGCTGCTTTCCTGGGTGAGGGATCTAGAAGGGCTCACATTCCCATTTAATGCCACGAGCATCACTGCTGTGCTTAACATGGCTGCGACAAGCCCGTGGTACAGGAGCACATCATCAGATTCGGGAGAACCTTGATAATCAACGTCTCCGTGCTGTCAGATCACAGAGCTGAGCTACGAGGAGGAAGCAATAAAAAGAGGAGGCAAAAGCTGACAAGGAAACATTTCCAGAGGTAATTGCGCGACCGGCCATCTTTGGTCGTCGACATTTGTTTAATTATTGTGATAGAGCTCAGCGTGGGGCACGAAGTAAAAACAGCCCATTAAATTTTAAGGTCTGTTAACGCGGCGTTAACAGGGAGCTGCCGAGTACAAGGGTTAAAATCTGCAGGTCTCCCATGTGAAAACACTTTGGGAGTGTATGTCACCGTTCAAAGGAAACCCAGAAATAACTTCCATGGACCATTCAATTATAGGCAATCACCACACAGCACTCCCTCTACTTGTGGCATTGCTCATCAATCAGGTTTTCTGTCATTATGTCTCTTCTCATAGCAGTCACCAAAAGGCTCTGAGCTCCCTCCGAATTCATGTGACATTTACTGTCAGGGGCTGTCAACACCAAGAGATTCTCCCAGGGCCTCGGAGTTCATCACAAAGCAACAAGATATATCCCCCAGCCACGTTCCCAGCATCAGCTCTGGATTACAGTGAGTGACTGAGGGGCACTGCAGCAGGCAGGGAAGAGCGAGCAGCAGTGCAAGCTCCAGCTTATGCCCAAATACCTTCCTTTCCTTATTTTCATAATAGAAAAACACAGCCACATTAAGAGAAATACAGCTCAGGTTTTAAGTCTGTAATTAATTATGATCTTCTCAAAAGCATCCCTTATAAGCCTTTTAGTAGAAAGACGAGATTGTTTACTTGGAAACGTAGGCTTCCCATCTTTAGCATTGATCCTGCATTCATTGTCTGTTTAACAATAAACTGACCTAGTGGAATAAATTTATAAACCTTAATAAATTGCAGTTGGCAGTATTGACAGAGTGTGTATGTGTACATTTGTTTTTGTGTGGACATATTATAAGAAATCTAATAAAGTAAAACAAACACATTTTCTTTGTCTGTGAGCTGTGAAACTAGATCATCTGTAATTACAGTGTTTCAAGCAGACTTGGTCAGAGTCGCCTGATATTTTTACCATAAATATCTAACTAGAGAAAAAAATGCGCATCAAAGCTTGCATCTTCCACTGGGTTACTTTGCTCAGGATGCAGAAAAAGGAAACAGACAAAATAATTATCCAACTCACCAAAGACCACTGTGAGACAGGAGGAAACAGTTCCAGTATGCAGGGAAGGAAGTTCCAGTGGCAAATGAGTCTTAAAGAAACAATGAGGATCTTGGATAAGTTGGTTTTGCCCAGACTTTAAAGGGGGACTGACATTAACAAGTATTTAAACCAACAAATAAAAGAGTGACTTCAATTCTGAGGCTTTTGTAAGATCTGAGAATTTGTATGACCTCTTACAACTTCAGTGTTTGGTTTTAGCTTACTTTCTAAAACCAGCCTGGTTTCTTCTTTCCACCAAAATAAATATATTCCTTAAGGAGCAAAGTATTTATTTTCTTTAAATTATTACGTGATAACAAACCCTGATCTCTCTGCCTATTCAGGTCACTCGGTGGGCTATTCCACAGATCCCCATCATCTGAGCCAAGGAATCCAAGCAATTTTACATCTGATTTATAGCCCATTTATCCAACCCATACCTCACCAACCTGGTCAAGCAGTACTATGGGAAACGATGTCAAAAGCCTTGCTAAAGTCAATGTACACAATACATGCAGCTCTCTCTCTGTTCACTGAGCCAGTCTCACCACAGAAGGCAAGCAGGCTGGTGAGGCACAATTTGCACCTGTCAAACTCACAGTGGCTGTTCCCCAAACCTTCTTGCCCTTCACATGCCCTGGCTTTCCAGGGAAAGATGTGCCACCACCTCTCCAGAGACTGAGGTTACGCTGACTGCTCTAAAACTGCCCAATCCCTTTTCCCACCCCTCCTGCATGTATGCAAGATATTTGCCTTTTTCCAACCAACAGAAACCTCTCCTGAATTACCATGACTTTTCAAAGTGACCTTGCAATGAGATTGCCTACTTCCCTCAGCAATCCTTGGAGGCAAGGAATAAAATCCCACCACCTACTATCAGAAAAGCTGTAGTCAGGCACTCCGGCACCTGCAGCAATTCCTCATGGCTTATCACCTTTGTTCCCATGTCCTTTCCGCTCTCTCACTGCAAGGACACAAAGCAGCTGACCTGAGCAAGCACAGAACACACAGCCCTGTTTGCACAGCTCAGTCACATCGCTCCACCATCACACTTACTCCCTTAGCCATGTTACCCCACACCAACCTTGGCTATCTCCACTTGATTCTCACTCTGGACAGTCCCCTGCCTCATTGCTCAGAGCCTCTCTCATCTCCTCTCATTCAGCTATTTTCTTTTTCCAGAGTAGAAGCCATAAATGCGCAGCAATTGCACAACTGAAGTTGTTCCAACTCCTGTGGCATCCTCATGATATGAATCAAAACAGATTAGCTTCGCTATTGACTTGCCAGTTGCAGAAAAGACAGAGTATCACACACCAGGCAGCTGGGGACTTGAAAGAAAACTGGGATAACAGCAACAATAATTCTGTGATTAGCTGAGATCTCGGATAAACCCATAGCAACAAAGAAAGTGTACGTTTCTAGGAGCATTAATTACTGATACTACATTGATGAGAGAGAAAATTATGGCAAGATTACAGAATGGAGGTGCTTATATTTCTATTTTGCATCTAATTTTCATCTCCAAACAAACTTAGTAGCTTGGGAAATACATCTAGTAACATTATAGCAAGACAATCATAACATCCAATGTTTTATACAGATACATTCACTAAAACAGATAGCTAAACAACTTTATAATTACAGTATCAGGACAGATCTGTGGAGAAAATGGTAAACAACGTGCCCCATATGATACAACAAAAAAAGAAAAAGAAGCATGAAGAACTAAAAGAAATCTAGCGGTTGGATAAAGCTTTCAGAATGACAGCAGAGTGATTCCATATCCCTTTAAAAGCCACATTCAGAGCTGAACCTTGCAGCCATCCACGCAGACAGCAGGAATAATGCTCAGCAAGAACTATGAGTTCATAACAGGAATTACCAGCAAAGGGAAAACCATATTCTTGAAAAAGAGACAAATTGCCAGAATGACCAAGCATTTATGTGCCTACAGAACTAAGAAACAGATATGAAAGTGCACCATTCGGCTGCAATGAGCACAGGAGCAGCAACATTCATGCTTCTGAAGGAATTCACCAGGGTAAGGAGAATAGGAAGCACATCAATTTCTGTGCACACTGGTGCTGCTGATTGGGAACTCTGCCATCTCCTGCTGCAGCACAGCTGAACCAAACACAGCAGTATACAGAGCCCAGGACCCTCAATGAGCACCTCCATCACAGAGCCAGGCTGTGGGCTCACTTCATGCATTATTTCATACATTTCCATTCTCCAACGTTTCATGTATTCAATTTCCCAACTTATGAATGTTCATAACTAATCAAACCACTGATTGCAGGATTACTCAAGTTTCTGATCACACCTGACATGACCTTTTTCATAGAATCATAGAATCGTTTGAGTTGGAAGGGACCTTTAAAGGTCATCTAGCCCCACTCCCTGCAATGAACAGGGACACCTAGAGCTCCATCGGGCGCTCAGAGCCCCATCCAGCCTGACCTTGGAGATCTGCAGGGATGGGGCATCCACTGCACTTCTGAGCACTCTCTGCCAGTGCCTCGCTTCTCATAAAAACATCTTCTTTGTATCCACTCTAAATCTCCCCTCTTTTAGTTTGAAACCATTTCCTCTCATCTCATCACAACAGACCCTGCTGAAGAGTCTGTCCCTTTCTTTCCTACAGCCCCTTGAGATACTGACAGGCTGCTATAGGTCTCCTCTGAGCCATCTCCAGCTGCACAGCCCCAGCTCTCAGCCTTCAACGCCTCGCTGGGAGGTGCTGCAGTTCTGCGACCGTTTCTTTGGCCCTTCAACAGGTCTGTGTCTTTTCTGCACTTCTCCTTGTGCAACTGAACTGCAGCCTGCCCAGATGCTGCCTCAGGCCCTGATAAGCCCAAATAAGGCTCTTTATGAGATGATTAGATGCTATATTCGTGCAGTCTGTGGCACACTTCATGCCTCCCCCCACAGGGACGCTGTCAGGCAAGCAGGAGGCCTCTCTACCCACAGAGCCCCCCGAGGAGCAGCACAGCCGCCTGCCCCACGGGATTTATCCCCCTGAGCTACAGGGACCCCCCAGGCCCACATCAGACCACCCCCCTGTCGTCCCGCTCGTTCCCGCTGCCGGCTGCCGCCCGGGTTGCGGCCCGGGTCCGCCGCGCCGTTCCCGCGCTGTGCTGAGGGGCGGGCAGGGCGCTCCGGCTCCTCTCTATGGTACGCGCCTCTCTATCCCCGTCCTCACGGCCTCAGACCGCCCGCATCCCCTTCCCGCTGCCCTCAGCCCGTTCAGCCTGTGCGGACTCCTCTCTCTCCACAGCCCCACGCAGGAGCTGTCGCCGCAGCCCCGCGGGAACACCCCCGAACGTCCCCGGTCTCCACCCTCTCTATGGCCGCGAGGAGCCGCTCTGCTCCGCGGTCGCCCAGCTACGCGCCCTCTCTATGGTCCCTCGGGCGACATGTGGCGGCTGCTGCTGGGCCGCGGCGGCCTCGCGCGCTGCTTGCCGCCTCCCGCCCGCCCCGCGGTCGCCGCCGCCCCCGACAGAGACTCTGCCGACAGCCGCGGCTCCGCGCGGTGAGTGCGGCCCTCACTCGCTCGAGGCGGCGCGCCCTGCCTGTCCGTCGAGGCGCGAGGGCCGCCGTCACCGCCTTGTGTTTTGCAGGTGCTGCGATGCGCCCGGCTGTCGGCACGGCGGGCCCCGCCATGGCCGCGAGCGTGAGGGACGGCGGCAGCCGCTGCCCGGCCTGCTGCCGCGTTACTCCGTGCTGGACGCCGTCACCTGGGTGAGGAGCGGCCGGGTGGGCGGGGGACGCCGTGCCCTGCGGGGAGCCGGGTCCAGGAGTGCTGTGGGCTGGAAACTCCTCTGACTTGTGTTGTCTCTATTTCAGGGAGCACTGGCCGCGCTCCTGCTGCAGCTGGTCAGGCAGATCTCGTGGCTGCGATCGCTGCCGGACGCCAGGAGGGAGCCCAGGCCTCCCTGGTTGCCCTCGCTGCCCGCACGGCACGCAGGTCAGCAGCGCTGGGTTGGGAGGACCCGGCTGTGGGCAGGATTTCTGCCTCCCGACAGCTCGCATCTCTCCTGTTGCTGTCAGAAGCTGACAGGCAGCTTTCAAGCTCTCTGGAGGGATCGAGGGCTGGTATCTGCTCGGGGAATCTTACTCTTTCCTACCTGTTTGATGCAATCCTACGTTATATTCTGCTTTCCATTATATTTGTCCTCTGATCGGGGCCTTACACAGTGAGCAATCCTGCTCGGCTTTGTTGCCAGAGCATAGAAGGCAACTAGAATAGATAAGTTCTGCTTTGGCTCCTAGAGTGGAGGCAGCGTGGCTCATGGAGATTGACTTGTGCTCTGTGTTTCAGTGGTGCCTGACGCTTCAGCCGGCCTTCCCTGTGCCCAGCTGGGGCCCTGCTTCCTGCAGAAAGCAGAGGTTGCACCAGAGAATTCATCCTCAGGCCTCTCCTCAGGGCCAGGAGAGAGGCAGCTGTGGGCAGAAGAAGGTATGTACAATGTGCTACAGGGCAGGATGCCTGTAGCAGAAGGACTTCAGAGTTTTCCTAAGGCAAAGCTAGGACCCAAGAAGCATGTGGCCATTTCTTGAAACATGGAGGAGGGAATGGAAAGACAGAACTCTGGAGTGATGAATCAGGAGTCCAGAGACAGGGAGGAAACAGCTCCTGAAGGCAGGGGAGGAGCCCGTGGTATAACTGTGCAGCAGTATTGACTTTCCCAATGTTGGTCTGCCTTTGTGACCAACATACAACATCCAGTTTCTATTCTTTTATTGTGGACAGACATTTGCAATCAAGAGGGTTCAGGAGAATATTGCAGAGTGATCTGAGAGGCTCACTATACAAAATGATGCTAAGGGAATTATTTTCTTCCAGGAGTATGAAAATGAGTGCTTGTGCTGCAGACAGGGTGGTGAGAGGGGGTATTAAAGGAATTCTAATTAAAACAGGCTTTATAAAAACAAGAAAACATACTTTTTAAAAAGTAGTGTCATCCAGGAAAATGTGCCTGGACATCTAACACGTTAAGTCATATCAAGGAAGGTCAGGTTAAGCCTACAATACGTTTATTCATTTGACATATAACTACTAATAGTAGCTTTGCAGGAACATGATTGTGGTGTAGATGAGACACATTAAATAAACAGCTCACAGATGTTAGATGATGTAACGTGTTGCAAGAAAGGTCAAGGGGGTTCCCCATTCATTGCTTGCTTCTGTGCTGATTTAAGCTACTGCCCATCACTGCTTATCAAAGCCATCTCCTGTCAGAGGTTACCATTCCCATCAGTTGGCAAATGGAGCATTTTGTTTCCATGTTCCTAATTAGCTCCAGGAAAACAGCCAGGTTAATTTACCTAAACTGCCAATTAGACTGTTTAACCCATCTGCTTTTGTCTGAAGCGTATTAAGAAGCATTCAGATACACTGCCTTGCTGGCAGATGACTGGACATGGACCTCTGGGAGAGGTGGTGGGGAATAAGTGGAGACAGGTCTGTCTTCACTTGGCACAGTTGGCAGTGGATGTGTGTCTATATCTTAACAGTTTCCTACTGAGAGTCAACTGGGAGAGCTTTTAGGCAAACTGACAAATTGAACCGTGACAAGTCACTAAGGCCACATGCTCTTTGTTCAGATGTTCTCTGGAGGCTATGAAATCACTAAGTCTCTAATGATGGCATGTAATCCAGAGCTGAAATCTGCTGTACGACCAGACTGAACACTGACGAATTAAACACTAGGTTTTGAAAAGCAGGGTTGTTTGTGCCATGGAACTGCAAAAAAAATGTAATTATAGGGTGCTAGAAACTGTATTATAGAATAGAAATGTTAGGTACCTGGATGAGTGTACTGTATCAAAGGTCTGGAAGGGCTTAGGAAGTCATTTCTCTGACCAGCTTGCTCCATTACCTGAGTCTTAACAGAGAGCAGAGTTAGAGTTTGTAAATCTATTAGAGTTCTCTGGAGAAGTCAACAGGCATGTGGAGCAAGATTATCCAGCTTTTAGCTTTCTGAAAATCTTTCAACCAGGACCTAAGCCAAAGCTATCTGGAGGAATAAAGCTGTTGTGAGGGAAGACAGAGGGGCTGCTCTTCGGCTAGAAATTCCTTAAAGCGTAAGAAATGGCTTTCATGATGGAAAGCCATTACTGGTGGATTCCCCGAAGTGCTTTACAGAAACCTGTTCTGCTTAGCAGAGTCAGCAGTGATTTGGAAAAAGGTGATGCTTGAGGTGACAGGAGAAGCAAATGAATTACAAGATTATTCAGGACAGTCAAACCTAAAAGTCACAGCAAAAGATTGGCACAAGACCTAAGAGGGCGATCTTAAGGTAGGTTAAAGGACTGTGTGCAGGGAACTGTAACTGTAAATATACGTACGGAGTGAAGAGTCTCAAATTAATGATTGCATTGAAACTGTGAAGTCAGTGCTCAACAGCAGCGAGGTAAATGAAATGTTATTTGTTGCAAAGGAAGGAGCTGAGGCCAAAACAGTATCATAGATCTGTGTAAGTGTAACATAGCTGCCCCTTGAACAATTTAGGAAGAGCACTCTGTCTTAAAAAACAGTAACCAAAATGGCATAGACGAAGATGAGAGAGAGCAAACCCTAAAGAAAGACTGACTCTTTTGCTTTAAAGTAGTGACAAAGGGTGGTAGGCAGCAGAAACGTGCTACTCTGAGACTGCTAGAAGCAGCTACTCTGTTTTCTTGAGCGGCAAAGACCTCTGTGATGTATGCAAACATCCCAGCTGCGCAGATAACCGTCCCAGTTCCAGTATAACACAGTAGGGTAGAATCTATTATTTAAAAGAAAGAAAAAACAACCCAAGAAGTGTGTTTAAAAAGAAAACTTGAGGAAATCTGTTGAAAAGTTGCTTAACATATAATTCCAGGTATTACTGTCAGCAAGTTTTCAGGTGCATGATCACATCCTATTTTTTTCATCCAATTTTTGTCTCGCTCAGAGCTTTTCTTTCTGAAAGTTAAAGGCGTGTAGTGCAGAAGCAGGTGATTACAGCCATTCTCAGTGGTACAGCAGCTGAATGTTGCCTTGGGGAGTTGTTTTTTACCCCTGACGGGACTGTAAAATTTGTTATTTCAATTCTGAGATTACAGGCATTTCCAAAGTGTGTTTTCATTTCAAAGCACAATGAAACCAATTGGAAACACTCAAATTTTCCATGAAGCAGCAGTCCTGGATTGTGGCCAGCTCTTGTTGTGAATTAATTCCTGTGAAGTGTTTGGATGTTTCGTTGTGAGCAATCTAGACTATCTATGAGAAGGTTAATAAATCTGCATTTGGAGTTAGCTTCGAGTAACATTTGGTAAGTGCAGGATGAACAGTGGGGAAACACAAAATATTTATTAGCTGTAAGATCTCATGGGAAAAGAAAAGAAAAGGGTGCACAGTCATGTTACATCATAATACAGATTTAAAGGGGTAGAAATATTGTTGCACAGAAAATTCTAATCTCAATTTGCTGAAGCAGAACAAGATTCCGTGCTGCTTGGGGGTGCCTTTATTTCTGCACATATGACTGAAGGAACCTAAGCAACATGTTAGATTGTGTGCCTGGTTTTGAGAGGGCTGCTGTGAGACAAGTTCTAAGAGTAATGATTTCCATGAGGAGTTTTGATTTGTGGCTTGCCCAGCTTCAAATGAGACTTCCAAGAGAATTAATTGATTTAATCCATCAGGAGATAGGACTGAGTGTCAGGATTGGCTGGTCCCTCTGTTTTCTTCCAAACGATCTTCTGATCTCTGGGAGTGGTAACTCTAGTCTGGGAAGATTGCTGGGATTAGATTTGAGGAGAGATTTCCAGTTGTGGGGAGGTGTAGGATATATGGGATGCTTCTACATTCTGATAGTTTCCTGAGCACATGAAAGGATTAATGTTTTTTAAATGAATGGCTTGGACATATTTTTAATACAGACAATTTATTTATTTTTTCACAAGACTTACTGTTGTTAGAAAAAAAACAAAACACCAAACTACGTCATGAGGGAGATACTGACAGAAGATAGAGAGTTGCAGTGAGGAAGATCAGATCATTTTATGTCTGATCTGAAAATAAATGTAAAGTACAACTAATAAATTTGCAGACTATATTACTTCTGGTGGAATGGTAAATTGAACTTGTGTTTGCCATAGTGATCTTGCTTGTTGCGTGAGTGAGACTTGTTTAGATAAAATACATTCTAATACTGCCAGAGGGGAATTGTTTATCCAGGAATAATGAGGCTGCAGCTGGAAGGCAGGTCACAGCTTCATGCCCTATAGTTTGGTACAGGCACTAAAGAAGTGATCTTGCCTGTCCCATGCTCACTTCTGCCCCTGTTGCCAGCACAGGCTTTTGCAGAGCTGTATGGTGATGGCAGTCAAGGCACTGAGGCTCCAAAAGGACTGACTTCTCACTCTTTTTAGCTCCCTGCTCTGCAGCCGTGCAGCTTGAGAAGGTGAGGAGGAGATGTGGGGAGGAGATGTGGGGAGGACACAGCCACTTCTGCTGGCAGCACCATCTTAGAGTGATCCCAGCTTCACCACCTGGTGTCAGGTGCCCAGTGGGACATAGCTGCTTATGGTGATTCAGGTTATAAAATAATTGGCCTCAGTCAAACCTCGCTGTTCGTCCTTCTTGCTGGAGGTCACCGTACTCTTGGAGCAGCTGGCATAAATGCTTGTGTAATCACTTCCAGCACGGTGCTGTCGAGAGCAAAGTGCCTGAGCTTTTGTTGTAGATGCTTTCATTAGATGATTCTGATTGAACTCAGACAGATAGTGGCTAAACAGGTGGCTGTGCCACCAGCCCTGTGAGGGCGGTGATGAGTAGGGGGGGGTGATAACATGAGCCTGCACACAGCACAGCCAGAACAGCGTGTCTGATCATCCCCTTGTGGAAGCAGGACTGTATACTGCAAGGAAAATTACCTGGAAAAGGAGCTGGGGTAGGCAGGCGCCTAGGCATAAGATCTCAGTGTGATGCTGTGGCCAGCAGGAACAGAAATATGATTCTGACACATGCAAAGTAGGCAGTTATGAATTTGAATAAGGAGGCAATTTTATCCTTTCCGTGACACTGGTGAGAGTGTCCTCACTTCAATAACAATGTTGAAATTTCAGGAATAGTGGCAAAAAAAAAGTCATAAAATTAATCAACTCAGGCAGAAAAGTACTTCAGTTGAAAGATGTGAACAGCTCAGTCTGTTTAGAATCACAGAAAAGAATCAAGAGGGGTTGATTAGTTGTAACAGGACTTTGAAAAAGAGAATGGGCTTTTTAGTGAAGAGACAAAAGCCTAGGAGAGCGGGTGACGGAGAGCAGAAACCAGATGTATTTTAATTTGAAATGAAGCACGGATTTTTAAAGCCATGATTATGAGTTGGTGGAACAAACTTTCAAAAGAAATGGGAGGCTGTCTGTCTTTTTGTACCAGTGGGTCAAGATTGGGCCCTTTCTGGAGGAGGTGCATTGGCTGAATCCAGGGCTGCATTCACATGGTGCTTAGCTAATTGTGATACCAAGGTCAGATCAGTCACAGTTCCTTCTGTTGTCAGTGTCCCTAACTGGGCACACCATCAGTAGTCTAGGAAAGAATTGAAGAGCAGAGAAAGGTATCAGAAGGAAGACGTGAATATACAGCCTTGCTTAACCCTGTTTTTTGTCCCTCTTTTAATGCAGGGGAGTTCCCAGTCCCTCAGTGCTCCAGCCTGAGGCCAGTTCCACACAGTACAAAGGTAAGCTTTCATTTTTTCGTGAGCTCCGTCTGTGCCTGAGGCCCCTTTGCTACAGAAAGGCATCTCAGTGCAACCCCAAGCAGAGCCTGAGCAATCCACTCACACGCAAGACTGCTTTCTGCACTGCATAGCTGGAGGCTGGGAGAATGAAAGATGTGATGTGCTGCCTTTTGGCCAGAGCAGAGTTCCAAGAGCCACAAACTGACGTCCTTTGGAGTGTCTGTGTAACAGCAGTGCTAGTAAAGAAGCACTGGAAGAAAATGTGCCCAAAAAAACCCACCAAGTAGCACCAGTGTGGTATATCTGCATTTTGATGCTATCGTTCACTAGGTGTCTGTGTACTGTTGCTATTTTGGTTTTCTCCAAGCAAGTCCGTGACTGGAGAAGGTGGTGTCACCCCTCCCAAAGCTGCAAATCAAGACTGAGATTTGTTTGTTAGAGAGAGGAAGAGAGAGACTTTGTGCTTGAAGAGGGTATATCAGGTTGAGTCATGAGGTTGTAAATCATATTATTATTTTTGTTGTGATTAAGCCTGTTAATTCCTTGCAATCCAGAGCTCCCCATTTTAAAAGTCAGTCAGCTTAGCAATTACTCAAGGACACTCTGAACGGAATGGAAATATATTCAGCAGTTAACAAAGTAAGATCCTCACTGAAGTGAATGTGACCTCCTCTAGCAGAAAGATTTTCACTTGGTCTGCCCAGGGAGGTGAGGAATGAGCTCCCCATCCATCTGCAGGGCCATGTGCAGTGGGGCAGGTCTCAGGAGGCTCTCTGGAGAGCAGATGAGTCGGTCTGTGTCTTGTCCTCCTGTGAGCAGCTCAAAGTGCTGGGTGAGCTGTAAAGCTCTTTGGTGGCAAGGGGCATTTTTGCAGTGTGACTGTCTATGCAGAGGCATCTCAGCTTATGTGCAGTGTGTGCTGCCGCCGCTCGATGGCACTAAATTTGTACTCAAGCTTGGAGATGAAAGCTGCAGGCCAGGCTAATCCTCCCACCTCCCAGAGCTCCAGTGAAGTTAAAAAAAAACCTGTTCATTACTGAGGAAGAAAATACATTGTTTCTGCAGAGTTTTATTAGGGAGACTGCAGTGTTCTGTAAGCTATCAGTGTGGGCTCAGCTTGAATTGTGTAAAGGATATACAGGTGTGTCAGTGTGTGTTTGACAGAGAGAAATGCCACTTGTGCATTGATCTTGGAGGGCAAATGAGGGCCAATCTTACTTTTGAAGAGGAAAACTACGTGTGGTATGTTAAATTCTGATATGTTCTAATGATATCTGAGTGAGTACACCAGGCTCCCTGCTCAGAGGTGAGCAATGTCTGTGTGAAACAGGGAGATTTTTGTGTGGACACGTGACACCAGATTACATCACCCTCTTGATTTACTACAGGACAGCACAAATATCAGATTGCTCCATTTCCAAGAAGAATCTCTTGTAGGGTTTGCATGTTTTTGCTGTCTTATAACTTTCTTCTTTGACTCTGCAGGAAAACCCAGCTCAGCGAGAGCATTTGGAGGAAGCTGCTTTTCAGTTGCAGCAGATTTTCCGAGTTGATATATCCATTGCATTCAATATCCTTGGTAATGTGGACTTAGGTTTGTTTTGTCCTTAAACCACACGTTCCTCTTTTTGGAGGGCCTCCAAATGGTTGCAGGCCTTATGTGAAGGCAGAGATGGCATATACCCAAACTGAAGCCTTCTTTCAGCAATTTCAACTATACTTTCAGAGATTTATTGCCCTTTGTCTCATCCTGCCACCTGATTTATGTCAGCATTTTTAAATCCAGGCTTGGTTGAAATCTGCACTGTTGTCCTGACATCTGTATTTGGAAATTAAGTCATCTCTGTCCTTTTTGCAACATGAGCTGTCCTATCTTCATAGCTCTTTTTTCATTGTCTGAGATCTCAGTCTTCCTGGCAAGCTGAAAAAGCAATTGCAGAACTGCAACTCTAAGAAGAGCTGAAGGAAGATGTAGTGATCTAAGAAAAAACTCCCTGCCCTACATACACCACTAGTTGCAGCACTAGAAAAGTAAACTGCTTCTCCATTAACCATATGCTGTGCTAGTACACGGTCCTTCTTTGTAATGAGATCAGAATACTTCCTAAAATACTGTGTTGCTGTTTTCCCTGTGGAAACTTTGATTATGTGGGATGGGGGCTGGTGAGCCTGCTAGGAGTGGGCTGGACCATTTGGCATGGGGCAAGGATGGTCAGTAGCTCTGGGGAGTGTCTGCTGCATTTGAGGCTGCGTTCTGTTCTTTTCCCCTATTTTCAAACCGTTTTCTTCCCAGGGATTGAAAGTATGAGAGAAGGCCATTACCAGACAGGCTATACCTGCTTCAAACTGGCAGCAGATCGAGGCTACAGCAAAGCCCAGTTCAATGTGGGTCTGTGTTATGAGCATGGCAGAGGCACGGGAAAAGACTTGGAAAAGGTATCCAATGCTTGTGCAGTCACGTATGTGTGTGGCACGCACTATGGAAGCAGTCTTCATTGGGTGTGCAGTCACTTTTCTCCCTTTGAATGGGTATGACAGTCTCTGAAGTCTGACTGGAAAATGCTGGAAGTAATATAAGCTGCAGGTTGCAGTGCTGGCTTCAGTATCGTAGATCCCCTCGGAGATGTGCTCCTGAAATCCCCTTTCTCATAGCTGCTGAGGTCTTGTTGCAGGTACACAGGCTGTGCCACTAGCAGCTGCAAGAGTACCCAGGAGAAACCTGTCATGTTGCTGTATTTAAAACACCGCTGCACATCCGAGCATTTCTTTACATCATGAGCCTTCCAGTTTGGCTTCCTTAACTACAGCCTGCCACCTAGTGAGTGCAGCCATAGTCAGCATCCTCCTGTACCCGAAAAGATCTGCAAAGGCTGCTTGTTTTGAGTAATTGTGCAGATCCCCACTGGCATGAAGTAAGCTTTGGTATTGATGGCCCAGTGCCATATCCTTCAAAACTCGGACTTTTGACTAGAGAAGGCAGAGGTGGTTAGAGGGCTCTTGAGCAGTGATAGTCCACTGCAGAAGAAAAATGTGGGAGGGTTGCCAGGGTAAGCATGTGCAGCTTCTGATAGGTCTGGACAGAGAGGTTAAGCTTGTCCTGGCCAGAGGGGAGTCGTATCATGTTTGAGGGCATGTATTACCTGACTGACACAAGCATATTTCTCTGTTTGCAGGCAGCTTTTTATTACTACCGTGCAGCCAGCAGCTGTCACCCCATGGCACAGTACCGCTATGCTAGGTGCCTCTTGTGCCACAGTCCTGAAAATGAATGGCACAGGCTTCAGAAGGCAGTGACATTCCTGGAGCAAGCAGCAGAGGCTGGACTTACAGAGGTTGGTGTCCACCACGTGAGAGTGATTATAAAAGCTGAACGTTTTCATAGGAAAGAGAGAAGTTTTTTTAGGACTAAAAGCAAAATTCTTCCTAAGTACTCCTACTATTGCCCATGTATGGGGACAGCCCTGCCTGCATATGCATGGCATATATAGGTGCCCATTCTGTCAACAGTGCTGGTTGTCTGTTTCGCTGTTGGGCTTTTTGTTGTGGTTCTCATAAACCCCCTTAAACAGGACATTTTCTGTGTGCTTATGGGATTTTTGCTTGTTGGTAATTTCTGGTCCCATCGTGCATCTGAGATAGATACTTGCTTCTTAGCTTTCTTGGTTGAAGAGAGGATGCAGCCATAACTGATACCAACTATGTAAGGCTCTTTTTTAATTTACAAAAGAGGGCAGAGCTTGATGCACCAATTCTTAGAGGCCTGGTAAATTGCCCATTCTCTAGTGCCAGGTGGCAGCCTTTTATGTTCCATGCCTGGAGAACGTGCAGCGTGGATGCATCAGCTGTCAATGAACACAGGCTGCTGCATCCAAAAGATAGGGGTCTTCATGAAAGTAGATTTCGGGTTCCTAGAATGCAAAGGGTATCCTCAGTTACCACAGATCTCCACAACATCTGTATTTGGATCAAACGTCATGTTTTGGCATACTTTTTACATCACTAAAAGCCGTTCTCACCTTGAGGATTAAGGGCAGTTGAAACTCTGGTAGAACAATCTCTCCAGATCTTTCTCTTGCCTGCAGCCATAGTAGAGATAGCTTTCCAAAATATCTTTTGAAAGAAACAAGAAAGTGCAAGGATCCCATTTGCCCCATTTAGACTAGTCTATCGTCCTGCTCTACAAGCATGAGTCTGACTGCAAAACTTTAGGATACGTATGACTCAGGTGCCTGCTTCTGAATTACATCAGCTCTGAAGCTGGAGCCAAACATGCATGTAATTGTTCTTTCCAATGCCTAGATTAGACCAGCAGCTCAGGAAAACTGACCCTACAGTTGAAAAACTGTATTTCATTGCCCCTCAGTTGCAAGAGTACAGGTTGCTTTGGTGGAGGAACTTCTGTGAGATGCTTTGAGTAGGAACAGATCCTCATACAGTGTCTCTGACTTTTCAGGATGATTCATCCTCATAGATCTGTGTACCCTGTCCTCCTTTCCCACTCTTTAGGGGATACATTTAGGCATGTGGCATCTTGTGTTATGAATGCAAGCCATTCTGGCAGTGACTGTATCTCATGTAGCACGCTGTTCCAGGAAGTACATCTGCTATGTCTAACGGACAGCTCACAAGTAGGAGCCGTTCTCTGGCTCTGACTTCCACAGTACAGTTTGAAACAAGGTTCTGGGTCTCATACTGTTAGTGTGGTGGTGTTACTGTGTGTGTAGTGGAGTTTTGTAGATCAGATGGGATTTTTCATGTTTATAATGACAGACTGAGTTTCTTAGGACAGCCTTCATTCTCCTAGCAAGCTCTGCTGCAATCACGATACTGTGCACGTGAGTCTCACAGGTGTCCCTGATGAGTTGCCAGAGATTATGCTCTGCTCCAGCAGCAGAGCTTTTACTGCCATTTGGACAACTTGCAAAAACAGGAGTAATTAAGGTGGAAAATCCTGGCTGATTTGTATCATGTGGTTTTGCTGCAGGCACAGGCTTATCTCGGAGTGTTCTACATGAGGGGGCTACAACCTAAGGAAAAGAGAGGTCTCAAGTACCTATTGCTGGCAGCAAAGAATGGCGTAAGTAATCCCTGTGTAAGCTGTGGTTGTTCTGACTTTGGGATTGTTGCAAGTTACAGGTGGCAGATTTCAGGGCTTCTTGAGGTGGGAGTGACTGCCAGGACTTCACTGTGCTGCCCAAAAGGTCAGAGTGGAAAACTGGCACACCCTGGGGAGGAAGCAGGCCCTGGGATGCACACCCTACAAAACATGAGCACAGAAAATGCCGTACTAGGTAGGAGCAGTTCTTACAGAATCAGTGTTTATGCAGTTTCCAACAAATACTCCCCTTGCATAATAAAGCTTTCCTGTTGTGGAGCCTTTACACCCTTCCAGTCAAAATCTTTCACCACTGTATCACTGGGAGAATTTTGTGTGTCTATCTTGAATCTCTTCTTCAAAATAAGCCCATTATTTCTTGCTTCCTACAGAGAGGATGAAGAAACTATTTCTATTCCTTTACAGGGACCTTTTCTGTACTTAAATACTTAAATCCCCATTCAACCTTCTCCTGTTGTTTCAGTTTCTCCTCACACATCATGTTGTCTGCATCTTCTTTCTCTCTGTTGAATTTTCTCCAAGTGACCCATGCTTTTTTGTGTGGGTTTTTTTTGTTGTTTAGTTTTTTGTTTGGTTTGGTTTTTTGAAGGACGATGCCTGGCACAATACTGCTCCTGTGGTCTTACCCATACTTGGAGAAGTATAACATCTCATGTCTTACAGCATAGTTTCTGCTTTCTTTACAGCACTGTGACATTGTTCACTCATTCTCTGATTGCAGTGTATTATAAGGAGCTAGTTTTTTGGGTTTTTTTTCTGAAGAACTCTTTCATTTTAACTTGAGTTCCTACAACTTCTTTGTTGGAAAAAAATGAATAACTTCCCTTTTCTGGCAAGCACTTCTGATTCTGTCAGCCTTCAGTATGTCCTCTGTGAGTCATTTCTTTTGCAGGCTGCAGAACACTAGTTTGTTTTGTCTCTCCATGTAGTTAAACTGCAGTATTTGTTTTGTCAGTCTTCTCCGTATTTTTCTAATTTTCATCCATCTTAAAATACGTGGACTAAAACTGGACTTGGGATGAAGGCATGCCATGCCATTATGCATGCCATAATGAGATCCTCTGCTTAGTTCTGTATTCCTTTCTAATAGTTCCTGATGCTGTTTTCCCATTTGCTTGCCAGTGATTGGTGACTTGATGGATTCAGGTAGATATCACAGGGATTCCCAAATTTCCTTTGCTTTTGTCAGCAGTTTCATCTGTGATTGCGTTGCCCACTCATAGTGTTGTGAGGTCTTCATTAATTAATTCTTTACAGTAAGTTTGATGATTCTTAATGACATTACATCTCTTGCAAACTTTATGACTACAGTTTTCACCCACTTTTAAGGATGCAGATATTAGACCAGTGGTGAGACTAGATCAGGATAGCCCCACATGCTCAGACATCGCGTTCTTGATGGTTGTGTTTAATTCCAGCTCTGCTAGAGATCTCCTGTAAGCCTCATAGATGATTTCTTCCTTCCAGCCTGATGCCAGATGCGTATGGCTGCACGAAATACCAATGAATCATCTCATTAAACAGTTGATTGTCCTTTGCTGGATGCACAGTAAACCCCTGAAAGCAGAAAATCCAAGAGGTAACTGCTGGTCCCAGCAGTACTCCTTAGCAGGTCAGAGTTTAGGTCACAGCCAAGACAGTTCTCAGAAGCCAGTCATGTTTCCCCAACTCTGCTTCCCAGTGGATGTTGGCCACAGACGTACCACAGCCTTGTCTTTGATGACAGGCATATGTGCAAGATCCCTGGGATGTAACCCCATGTGTTCAGCTGGAAAAATTCCTCCATGAGTATGTTCAATTACCCTTGGCACCCTGGAGTGTTTCAGTTCAGTAGAACTTATGTTTAGTTGGCTAAAAGACTATTGGTTATGAATGAAGAAGAAATGGCACTGTTTAACTACAACTTAAGAAGGAGAAAACAAACACAAAAATTCAGGGATTTGATATTTTTCAGGTTTTTGCTGTGCAGAAGCCACAGGGGTAACTCTGACAAGCATTCTTCCAAACACTGCAACACTTCAGAGAACTGTGTTTCACTTTGGTTACCAAAGTAACCATTTTATCTATTTTATTCTCCCTAATTTTATCAGAACAAGCGCAGAATATAAGAAATGTGTTAAAGAGTGTTCTTAAAGAACTGAGTCAGATTTCAAAGTGTACTACAGTCACACATGCCATGCTAATTTGGAGATCTGCTCTCCTGCTGGTGGTCTTTGAGGTGTTCATCACGTAAGGCACCACTAGTGGAATATTTCATCCTTATCTAACTTTGTATCTTGTCATATCTGAGCAGTCAAGCCTTCAACATGCTTACCTCATCTCTAAAGAAGTTTATTGCTGTCATAAACTGAGACTCGAAACATTTTGCAGGGCGCCCACTCGTTGAGTTCTTTGCTTTCCTCCACCAGCTAGATCCCAGACAGCAACACTTGCAATATGTTCCTTTCTTATGGCTTTATTAAAACTTGCAAACTTGCCACTTACTTTTTTTTTCCCCCAAAGCCTTATTTAGATCACTTTTCTGGCAGTTACACCATTCAAGGAGCATTGCTGGCTTTTTCATTGGAAAAGATCTGTGTGACCACTTGCCTGTGTGTGTTTTTCAATGTCTTCAGGACTGTCATCTTTCTTTTTTGCTGTGAGACCGTGTTCCCAGCATTAGATGAGAAACATAAAGTGCACAGCTGACATGCAAACATATTCATGAGTTTGGATTTGCTGACCCATCTGCAATTTCTGGTTCATTCTCAGCAGTTGCGTGTGCCTGAGTAGTTCGTGCTTTTTCTGTTACACTTACTTGCTTGACTTCCTTTCTGCTGCCTGAGATTTCTTCTGGAATATAATGAGGTGAGGCTGAGCATGCTAGTGGTGCACTGTTGTGTTGGAGGCCTGATGGACTGCAGGGTTGCCAAGGGGAATCTTCCAGCCTTGGTAACAAGACCTCTGGCATTTGTTATGTTTTTACAAGACATCTGTGTGAACTGTGGTACGGTATTCCACAGGGTGTGTTCACAGTTTGGGTGTGAGCAGGATGTGGGTGCAGTGAGGCCTCTTAGCTGTGACCCCCAAGGCAGTCTGGATGCTCTGGGGAGACAGCTGCTCTTTTGTTCCCGTGACACAGACCTGGACACTGAAGGGCAATTAATGGCTCTAATTAGAAAGGGATAGGGAGGAGTGGAGTCAGAGGTATCTGGTGAGAATTTCTGCTTGACGATGTGCTTGTCAAAGGAAGGGACAAAATTACCAAAGATACAGTTTGAGGAACCAAAGATAGAGGAATAAACTTCAAAGTTGGTGCTAAGGACTGTCTGTTCTCCTTTTGTGTGCTGTCGTCACTTCTCCATCATGTGGGGCTGATTACTGTGCTGTCTCCTGTGGCTAGGATGCCCAAAGCAGATACCATGTGGGCGTTTGCTATGAGAAGGGCCTTGGGGTGCAGCAGAACCTGGCAGAAGCGATGAGACACTATCGACAGTCAGCTGCTGCAGGGAACAGAAACGCTCAGGAGAGGCTGCGAGTGATAGAAGAGGAGATGGAAGGTACAATGGGCCGTGGGTGAAGAGGGTCTGTGGGACTGCATCGTGACACGGGCCTGTATTGCCAGAGGAAGGGTGGCACAGTACCATGGCAAAAGGAATCCTTTTTATTGGAGGCAAGGGAGCACTTTTCTTTCTCAGTTGTTTTTACTTCTTAGCAGCTATTTCCAGTCAAGTGGAAAAGCTGTTCCCATAGTCTGATGCATCACAAAGATCTCGTTTTAATGTACTTTCAGATGTGCAAAGAAAGCACCCGTTCCCTTTCGGAATGAGAGCCTCTTCCTCCAGCCCCTGTTTCTGGGCCACCGAGCGCATGCCTGCAGGTCTCCATTCCTTCCAGCCAAGACAACCTGCCCTCACCCTGCCCCACTCCTGGAGTGCAGACAGGCTCCACATGATGACACTTGGCAGCACAGAATGGAGCCATGCCCTAGGAGACAGGGCGAGTCCGCTGGAGCTGCAAGGTTTGGAGCCCCACCACTGTGGTTACTAGAGCAGCTGGTAAGTGGAGCAGGCAAGCAAAAGGGAAGGTGGGCCTTCTTGTTGTGTGGGACTGGAAGCAGGGTAGTAGTGAGCGGTAAGAGAAGGTTCCTTTTCCATTAACAGGAAGCTATTTTAGAATAGAGTGGTTTTCAAATTAAAGCTTGTGATATCTCCTATGCCACCATGTAGCTTAGCCCTCTCCCTGCCAACGCAAGGCTCTTTCTTATGCTCCTTCACTTCCATGTGAAGCTAATCCCCCACCTTGCTAGGGTGGGTACAGTTTGAGGCTATAATTTCAGTAGCTATGTACATCTTTCACATGGTTTCAGAGCAATGCTTGCAAGGCACCATGTGGCAATGCTGGCAAATAACTGGGTGAGTCTGGCCTGAAATCCCTGAGGCAATTTGATCTTACCTCAAGGTGGATTTCCAGTACAGTCTGGGCTTCTCTCTACACAGACACTGCAGCAGTTCAGTCTGCTTTAAGACCTTGTCCAAAGCAATGCAAGCAAGAGAGTTTTCTGGTTATTAGCGCCCAGGTTTCTGTGGGATGCAGTTGATGAATCCACACGTGCTGGTGGGAGTAATGCTGTCTTCAGCCATTCTGTGCCTTTGTCGGTGCCCTTCAGTCCCCAGTTATTATTCCTTCAGCTCTGGCAGTGAGTTGCTCTCACGGGGGCACCCCTTTGAGTCACAGTAAGCAAGGTTTGCTTCAAAATTTATATTGTACGTGTGTGCTAAGCACGTCATCTCATTTCCACCAAAGTGGCTAAGGGACATTCCCAGCAGGCAGTAGCCAACATCAGGCAGGCAGAGGCAAGCAGCTGGTATGATAATTTCTTCCATTGGGGCAGCTGACTCCGGAAAAAGGCATTTGTCCACGCAAGTTTAAGCTGATTCAAGGGCATCTGTACAAATTGTCCAGCTTCCTGTAGCTATCTGTGCTGCTCTGCTGCTTTGTGTAGATCAGGCTCTGAAAACAAAGGCGACAGCCCCATCCTGAACTTGCTGTGGTCTCCATTCAGCAAGGGAGGGGCACAGCAACAGCTCAGTGCATCCGATAGCTCAGATTGTTCTTCTAGTCTGGTCTTTCTGCCCAGACCAAACTTTCTTGGACCGTTTCCTTTATCAAGCAGGATATAATTAGCAGGAAATTCCTCGGGTGTATTTCCTATTCTGCAGTAATCCACTGTGTGCTTACACAGTGATCAGGATAGGACAGGAGTGAGGGATGGGGGGAGCTGGAAGCAATTTGCAGGAAACTGAACTAAGGGGAATTTGTCTCCCTTTTAACCTGCTTGCTGTAATGTATTTTTGTGTAAAGACTGTCCTTTGACAGGCACGTTGAAGTAGTGTACCAGAAGAAGATGTGAGGCTCTGCCATGTGTTTGTCCTCTGTGCATCCCCAAGATGCAGAGGAGTCCTGTCAGGCTGCAACTCCTTGCTGTCGCAGACATGCCACCCTCATAGTTTGCACAGCTGCATCTCAGTTAGAATTTGGCTCACTGTCATTGTTTTGGTGCAAGAGCCTGTTTTGTTTGTAAAACAAAACAGCAAGACATTTGTATCAGCAGGATGAGCATGCTAGGGTAAACTCATCAGTGTCATTTATTGACAGAGATAGGGTCATCTGTGAAACGCTTTGGAGATTCCGACTACAACAGTGGGTACCTGGGGTATTAAGAAGGCCACTTGGGGAAATCTTAATGTGTTGCTCTTGCTATTTGGTCCCAAGAGCGACAGGGAGAAAAAAAAAGGTTTCATTTAGTTTCCTTTAAAATTATGTGTCTGATTCTGTGCCGCTGTGGCTTGTGTATGTGCATGCTAAAAACAGGGCACAGCATCCTCCAGGTGCATGGAAAGGGAGTGTGGGTAGGATGCTTTTGAAAAGCTCGTATCTGTTGGGTGGCACTGCCCATTCTTATTCAACTTAGCAATAAAAATGAAGGCTAAAAATACCCCCCTGAGACACCTGATGCAGCAGCTTCAGTGCCAGCAAATTGCTTTTGGAGAAACCTTTGTTGTGTGAAGTGTGGAACCTGTGGAGAACTCAGTGCAGTGCTTCTAATGTAAAGGTTGTGTGGCAAAGGAAGCAGTGTGTGCAGAGCACTGCTGGCCCTGTGCTGTGATGGGGGGTAGGCTGGCAGTCTCTTCTCAACATATCTTTTGTAGTCACTCAGGAAGCAACTGCGCTGTGTGTTCTTAGCAGTGGCAGTGAGGGCTTTCCTTTATTCCCATAGCATGATTCTACACAGCATTGCTTTGCTGGAGTGACACACGTTTGTTCTGTGCTTTGTGTCTTAGTTGGAAAGCAAAAACAATGGTACAGAGAAAGGAGTCCTGCGTGTGTGTGATCCAGCAGTGCTTACCTGTGGTCTCCATTCTGCCAGACCTTCTACTGCTCCTCTACCCATGTGCCAACTGTGTACCAATGCCAAAGCCTCTCCCAGTGCCTGTGTCCCTGTTGTCTTGCCATTTTGAGTGCAAGTTCCCATGGTTAACAACACCTTTGTGTGCCTCTTCTTCTATTACTAGTATCTGTATCTCAGTTTTTCAACACATGCTATTCAAAGCAGTCTTAAGAGCTCACATACGCATGAAACAAAATGAAAACCTACAGTATGGGTGAAGTTTGTGACTGAATATTTCAAAGCTGTTTTCACGCTTCCCTTTTCCCTGGTTACCTTTGACAGACTCCAGCCATCTGTTGTCTGCTTCGGGGCAAGAACTAGGCTCCAAAATCCAGTGGCCCGCAAAAGAGAGCGCAGAGAAAGGAATTGTGAGCACCTAGTGTAACCACAGGAGAGATGCCAGAGTAGAAGGGGGTGATTTGGGGCATTTTACAAAATGCCAAGTTCCCAGTGTTAGAAAAAAGCTGAAAGCATCGGTGAAGAAACCCCTTTCTGAGTTGCCTTTTCAGGCTTTCTGCAAACACAGCATTGTCTCAGCTATATTGGACCTTGTTGCAGAAATACAACGTTAGGAAAAAAAAAAACCAACAAATTGTTTTATTTAAATAAGAACTGAGATCATGGAGCCCAACTCTGCAGCATGTTGCAAAGTCCGTGGCCATACTGGTTTATCCTCTGTGCTGCACAGCCTGTAGTCACATGGGTTTATCTGTGTCGTTCTCGGGTGTGATCTGACAAAGCCCCCTCGCTCAATCTGCCTGCCCTGGGAGGAGAGGGCCCTCCTGCTGTTGTGTGAGTTGTGTGTGATCGTAAGGTGAAAGATGAGGGTGGAAGAAGAGGAGAGACAGGAACAGGCAGGGGGAAGGGAGCTAAATGCAGTGAAATCAGTCGTGGAGAAATTTGATGGCGTGAGGCAAAGGAAGATACATGCCTATCGTGATCAGTCTAGACATGAATGACGCTCTGGACCTCTTCAAACACATGTGCACCCAAATAGAGAAAGCTCTGTTTGACTCTCGTCTCCTTGCCACAGCTGCCAAGCTGCCTACAGAACAGGAGCACTGTCATCCAGTCCAAGGCTCTTCCCACGTGCTGACAGCTGCCGCAGAAGCCCCGAGCCTGTTTCGTTGTGCGCTTGGACCTTCTGGGACAGAATCATTTCGAAGAGGGTGCTCATTTCTGAGAGGAAGGTGCTGGCCAGTCTTGTCCCAGCAGCGTTCGAGTCAGACCCGTTGCCTTTCCCAAAGGTCTCAAAGGTCCGTGGTTTTTCCTGCCCCACAGCTTCCTCATCCTGCGGCGAGTGCAGGGAGCCAGGGGTGAAGACGTTGTCCTTGTAATTGCCGGTGGGTGGCAGGGAGAGCCGTGCCACCCATGCTGGATCAGCCGTCAGCCTCTTGAGGGCCAGCTCTGGAGGGAGCAAAAGCAAGAACTGGTGGTGAGACGTGAGGTGGAGGAGACCAAAGGAGAAAAGAGGAGAAATGAGGAGACTTCCTGAAATGGAATCTTGGAAGACTGATTGTAAGCAAATCTACAGTTAAGCTACCAGCAGCATAATTCAAACGGACAGCTTAAAAAAACAAACTAAACTTGGTTGAAAACTCCTTTGTTTTGTTTTGTTTTGAATAACCATTAGGATTTCTCTGCATTCCCATTTGTTGTGGTTTCTAGCGCTCCTCACTAAACGGTAAGCAAAGCCAAAGAAAGTGAAGGCTTAGGACTACAGGGGATACAACAACAGAAAGGGGAAATGTCGAACAGAAAAAGGTCAGCGTTGGACTTTCCTTCCAGGTTACTCTGGAGTAGGGATTGGCTGCTGAGTAGTCAGGTTGAGACCGAAAAGAAGTGGGTTATTGCAAAAACAGTAATAATAGAAGTGGAATGAAATTCTGGATTATGAAATGCACAGCTGGGTGGTTGAGAGCTGGCAACAAAATATTGAGCTATAAAGTAGTTGTTCATCAATTGGAAACAGATGAGCAGCAGTGGGAGCCCAGTGTAGGCGTTGGCTGCGGGCTCATTAATGTACCAGTAATGTGATTCTGCCCTGAAATGGGCAAATGAAATCATACAGTGTGTTGGTCAAGGTATTCCCTGTTGGCATGAAGACACATCCGTGGCATTGTTATTAGGTCTGGCAAAACCTGATTAGAGGTATTACATACAAATCTGATTATCCATCCCTAAGAAAGAGGATCTAAAATGACAGAAGTGCAGAAAAATATGTTGAGATGAAACAGGAGCAAGCCGAGCTTACAAGATGGAGACCCCAGAGGTAGGGTTGCTTAGCCTGCTGAAGCAAATGCTCACTGGGGATCTGACTGCAACCTGCCATTATTTTGATGAGTTAAGCACCGACAAAGGAAATCTCTATGCTTAAAATAGTGTTGGCAACAGAAGAAATGATTAAAAGTGTCCGTGAATAAACATATACTGGAATTTAAAGGAAGGACCTCATAGCAGAGTGAGCTTGGAATATCTTCCTCACCAGGCAGCAGGGAAGGAAATGGATTCTTATTTTAAAGTAGAGTTTTGCAGTTGATAAACAGACTGATGTACACAGAAGCTGCTCTCCAGCCCTGCTCTGATCCATATCCTAAGCAGAGCCTAGGACTGCTGGAAGGTGTGAAGGGACAGGCAGGTTTGTGAAAAAAGATCTTCAGTAAGGGAGCAGCAAAGCAACTGGTGTCTCCTAACAAAAATGTGAAACACCACAACAGCCTCGATCAGAGGGCAAGAGTGGGTGTCATTGTAAGTATGCCTATCTCACTGACTTAGGTGAGCTCAGAAGGGGGAATGTCCTCATTCTCATGCACTTGTGCTGTTTCTAGAAGATAACGACCTGCTGGAACCTGAGACAGCCTCAAAGACAAGTCTCCTTCCTCAGCCAGCTAAGTAGTTACCTTTTTACTCTGAGACAGAACTGTGCCTCGGTATGCATGGGGTGAGGGGGAGCTGGGATTCAAAACTACGGAAGGAGAGGAAGGCAGATGCATTACTTACATTTTGTTTCAGTGAAAACCTCACAGTTCTGTCATGTTTGAAGCTTTCCTTCTGCAGCCTCGGCATTTTCTTTTCATCACGGTGACTGTTCCTTAAGAGCTCTCCCAAGTATGCTGAAGCCCCATGCGTTTGCTTTAAAACAGCCACAGCTCTGTTCTCCTCAGTCTGTGTGCAACCACTGTGCTCACTGAGTACTGTGATGCTTCAGCTCTGGAGCAGAGCAGCCTGCTCGCTGCAGGGAGAGCTGAGACTCAGTGGGCTGATTGTTCTGGCCCTTGCAACCGTGAACTCCTTCAATTAGGTATGTTGAATTTGTCTGATAACCTTACTGCCTTATTTTAACAGTGTTTTGTTTTATTATCAATAAAGATGTATCTTGCCAGCCACCGAGTGCTCTGTTTTGCTGGTAGGGGATAGGTGCTGCTATGCTGTTCTGCATGTGAATAGCTCAGGTGGGGGCTGGCTGCTTTACGGTGTAAACAACCCAATAGCCGACTGGGCCAGATCACTCCTGCAGTTTTTCCCCCACTGTGAATAACACAAAGGCCCAGCCAGCCCCAGCCAGCTGTTAGGATACTTCTGAGCACAAGCAATGCTTCCTTCCTCCCTCTTTCAGGATGCAGGTCCACTTCTGTTTGTGTTTGGGAGAGAAGGAAGGAGTCCAGCAGCTCTGTTGTCTGCTCTCTGTTGCCTTTTTGGGAAGGTCTGGGCTCACAGTTGGGACTATTCTTTGCCACAGCCTCTTTTGTCACGTCCAGCACTACAATGTGAGCAGGAAGGCACCAGCACAGACTCAGCATGCACCACTGGTATTTACGGTGAAATTCAAGTGATTTGATAAAAGGCTTCTTTCCTACCAACTGCAAGTACGGAGGCGTGCCTTTTTGGGTATGCCTGGCCATAGCGCAGATTACTGAAGTTACCACAATTTGCTGCAGTCATCCCCCCAACTTAAATCATCTGCTTGCAAGTGGCATGGAGAATATATAAATCAGTGCTATAAGCCAAGCAAAAAACAAACAAACAAAAAAAAACACAGCAGGCCGTAAGCATTCCTGAGGAACACTGAATAACCTTGTTCTGATCGGTGGGCATGGAGAGCCCGTACAGCCCAAGATCTTACTGCGGTGTGAAAGGAGAAGGTGAAGCTGCAGCAGCAAAATTCAATGAATTCTTCATCACTGCGCTTGCTGTGGAGGAGCACAGAGGCTCCACAAAGCAATTTCTGTGCAGGACGTGAGTCAGACTAACTCTTTCAAATGGAAATGCCAGTAGAAGAGATTTGGAACAAATCAATAAAAGGAACATGTAGAAAATGTCAGGCCCAGATGGTATCCACCCCAGAGTGCTGGAGGAACTCAGATATGAAATTGCTCAGTTTATTAGCTGTTGTTCGTTAACTACTTCTTCAAATAAATACAGTATCAGAGGAGCAGAAGGTAGAAATGATGACATGAGCTTTTAAACTCATAAAGGTGAATCTGGTCTGGGCAGATTCATAGGAATCATTATATAGAGCTAATAGCTGAATACCTGTTACACAGACAGGAACTGACACGGCATTTGCAAGACTGTGCAATCTCCAAATGTGTCTGTGAAGAAGGTAGATTATGAGTCCTGGCTGATGGAAGACACCTGAGTTTGCAGAGGACCTGAGCTGAACCTCAATTAACAGCCAGGTTGTGTTAGGAACTAAGGAATGTTAAAAGCTAGGAAGAAAGGGAAGGAGTAAATCTTCCCCAGAGTCATTAGAGGAGTCTCAGCAGTCTGAGACCTGCACTGTTCTCCATAGGGGTAAGCGATGCAGAGCAGTGGCTGTGTTAGCACTGGTTCCACTAAAACACCCAGAGAGGTACAAGCAAGAGTTGCTGAAGGACCTAAATCCCAGTGATGTGAGCAAAAAATGGCTGGTGGGTTTCTCTGTCTCTGGATAACCAGCATGGGAACCCACACATCGTGTTGGTTACTCCTACCTGGAGGGATCTGGGGCCAACGCGTTCAATGACAGCTCAATGTGCAGCCTGGGCAGCAAAGGGATGAGGAACAACCAAAAACTCCTTATACCTCCAAGGCAGATGAATCCCAAACACTGCACACAATTCTGGTCAGCACATCTCAACAAATACATTTAAAAGCTGATAAGAATGTAGAGGACAATAACCAGGATGTAACAGGAGACAAGAGCGAACCTTTTGAGCCTGGTAGGAAGGAGGGACCTGGTGGGGCCCAGGGGCTCTAGAAGATCACAAGGAGCAGAGCTCTTAACTTTTCTTACTCCGCGTGGACCAGAGGCCATGAAACAGAGGTCTCAGACCAACATGGTAAGCAGAGTTTTTGATTAGCATGCTGTTAAACTGGACTTCACTCCTACACTACAGCAGAGGCCAACCTCACAAATCAGAGCAGATGGATCTATGGAGGAGAAAAGTCTGCCAAGGGCAGTCAGACACATGGACAAATCCAGCATGAGGCTTAGCAAGTCTCTTTGGTGTCAAATGCACCAAGTGTGCATCAGCACTCTATGATGAGCTGTCCCCTGCCTTAGAATCAGAGAATCATTAAGGTTGGGAAGACCAACAACCAACCCATCGCCACCATACCACGAAACCACCCCCCTCACTGCCACATTTACCCTTTCCTTTTAAACCTCCATGGACAGTGACTCCACCACCTCCATGGGAACACATCCCTCAGCCCAGCCAGTATTAACTTGCCACTGGGGTTAGCAAGTTGTATGGGGACATCCCACTGCTGTAGCCCAGTCCCAGTGCATGCAGCAAGGCAGCCTCACCAGCCTGTGGCTCCAGCAGGGTCTCCAGCTCCTCTCCCACCAGCTGCTGCACCGACAGCTCAAAGCCACTCTCCGAGTCGCGGTCCTCAGCCTCGCTCTCGCCGTGCCCGCTGTCCTTCGTGCTCAGGCAGTCAGCATCCAGCCCCGCTGCCCTGCAAGGGTCCAAATACCCAAGTCACACATCAGCCCCTGCCTTGCTTATTTTAAAGATGGTTGTCCTAATCCCCCATAAAATGACCAAGAAATGGGTTGTGAGCATCATTCTCCAGCTGCCCTTCACCCCACAGCTCCACACGCCCCGTTCATCTGCGAATGGCCCTTCAGATGGGCCTGTATGTGTCTTCAGAAATGCCACATTTTAGTCTGTTGTGCTTGAAAACGTGAGCAAAAGCATGGGGATCAGGGGTGGTCACAGACTCTTGGAAAACTGGGATCCAGCTGGGTGCTGGGCAACCTGAGTTTGGAGAAACTGCCTGTGTGCAGGACCAGGTGAGGAGCACACAAGCCCAGTCCTGCCCCAAAGCAGGTCTTCATCCTTCACCAAGCACAGCAGAGGGAGCTGTGATTTTTCAGAGAGAAAGCTGTGTCTGGCCATGGCATGGAAAATGGGGACAGGGGGGACACAGGGAAGTGGAGATGAAGACCTGGCATACTCAGGAGCTTCCATCTAGAGCTGTCAACAACATAATTTAATGGGAACAGCATAAAGTGTGCCTCTGAGAAAGTCTCCAGCACACAGCTGGGGTATCTCAGACTTTCCTATGTCTTCTGGCAGTGTCTTCTGACCTTGTGCAGGAAGAGATGCCCTGAACCAATATCAACATGCACCCAGAGCAGTGTGACATCTCATCCTTTCATCTGTGTGCTGCTCCCTCCAGAGCTGGGACCCTCTCTGCTCACCTTTCCATCACACTGATGTTTCCTCAGCAATGGTAGACAGTTCATGGCCATTGGGAACTGAGGTGAGTACAGAAGAAGCTGCAAAAGGTACCCCAGGGAAGAGACAAAGAGCATTCCTAGGAGGGATCTGAGTCCATTGGTGTAGAGGTGAGAGCAGAGGAACATCTCCTGGGGAGGAGGACCTCAGGGAGGTGTGAGCAGACCTTACCTGCTGCCATTCTTGGCCGTGTACTTGTTTCCCCTGTGGTTTGTTTTGGGCTGGAACTGACCCTGGTGCAGCAGAGACAGCAGCTGGGAGATTTGCTGTAAGGCAGGAAAAGCACGTTGAGCCCTGCAAACACTGCACAAGCTGCTTCCTGCCCGGACGTCCCCTCTGAGCTGCGCCACCTTTTTATAGCGTTTCCTCCTCCTGCAGATGGCTCAGCATCCCCACGTTGGGCAAAACAAGGCCCCTCGCAGCCCACCTGGCCCCAGCACTTCCCCTGTGCCCTGGCACTATCCCTGCATGAAGCCCCCTCCATGGGAGATGGTTTATCCTCCCCCACCATCACCCCAGCTCCCTGGGAACATACGCAGGCCCTTCCCTTGGTGGGGTGGCCCCCACCGTTCCATTCCCTGGACTGCATAGTCCCACCCCTATTCCCAGGCAAATATTGGGGTCTCCATGCCTGCCACAGGTCATGGGACATCACCTACCTGCACAGGGGCTGACTCCATGGCAAATTCCCCATTGGCACTCTGCTCCGCCAGGGCCACCAGCGACAGCCGCACCAAGCTGCGCAGGATGTGCTGGGGTGGCCGGGGCTGTGGGGCTGACAGCGGAGGCTCCTCGGGCGGTAGCTTCCCCACCACGTCCGTGGGGCTGCTTTTTGGCCTGTGGGACGGGCAGGGCTGGCGTTGCACGATGGGGAGGGTGAACATCCCCTGCTCCTCATCTGAGTCCCTGGAGACCCTCTGGTTCCTCAGGGTCCGGTAGAGAGTAGGGGTGAGAAGTGGGGGAGGCTGCGGGGAGTCCTCCACGCTGGGCTGTTGGGAGTCAGCCCCCCGGGGCCAGCCCCGTGGTGTGGGCACCAGGTGAATGTCGGCCTTCTGGATCTGCCGGGGTGGCTTCTTCAGCTGCTGCTGCCTGTGGGCGTCCTCTGCCTCACGGCAGTTGTAAGCCATGCCGTCCTTCTTCTCCTTCTTGCGCAGGGATAGGGTGAGGGCCGAAAGGAGCAGGCAGCTGCCCAGGAGTGCAGCCAGGCAAATGGCAGCCACCACGGGTGGGCTTAGCCAGCCTGGCCCCCCAGCTGACATTTTGGAGAAGGCTCCATGGTGTCGGAAGAGCAAACGCACGCAGGCCTGGGCGTGCAGGGGTTCATCCCCGCCATCACTGATGCGGACGGCCAGGTCTCGCTGGGTGCCAGCCAGCCCACTGGCATTGCTGGCGTTGAGGAAGGCCTGTCCCGAGAACGGGTCCAGCACCACGAGCCCTGCACCATCCCCACCCACTATGTCATACCTCAGAACCCCATTGCGGCCGGAGTCTCCATCCCTGGCCACTATGGTGAAGAGCAGAGGAGTGTCGGAGCACGACACGTTGGCCAACACTGTCCCCATGGCACTCCCGTTGCCAGAGGTCACCCAGACACAGCCCGTCTCTGTACCCACCAGCACGGACAGCGTGGCCATGCCCCCCACCAGCGGCGGCT